CTTCAGAGGAAATGAGAGTTCTGATGTTGTCACAAAGCACAACTGACACTAATGAAGTTTTAATACAAGACATTTCAGAGAAAGAGGAGGGGAGGCTGATAGAAAATTAAAATGAATAAATAGAGCATTTCATTTTAAAGCCATTTGATTTATTGAAAGATAAGTCACATCTCCTACTCTTCATAAGGAATCAGTTTTCATCATGACAATTGTTATTATAACTATTAATTAAACAATAAACATGTACAACATAAAGACATATAAGCATCTTTTATGTCAATATATTATGTTGACATAAAAATCAGTTTCTACACGTAGAAGGATTATTAGTCCTCGGACAGGCAAGCTTGTAAGTTTGAAAAATACTATCAAAAATAGAATTTGCAACCAATATTTACATGCTATATGTCCACACACTACTGTGCCATCCAATTTACTCCAACAAAAGAAATCATAGGGAAATATACATGTTAAATAATACCATAAGTTGAAATTCTTAAAGTGTATAAATTGGGAGACTAACCAGGAAACAAAAAGACTGGTATTTAGTCTACTTTTATGAACCCTAAATAGTTACTGTTTGAACAGCACACATCCCTGTAGCCCTTCTAAAATACATGTAGTAATATCCTGTTCAGAGCAAATAAAGAGAAAATAGGAACTGTATACCAAACTCCTACCAAGATATATCATATAAAAAAATCATTGTATAGTGACAAGGGGCATATGTAGATTAAAAACAAGATTATATGATAAATAAAGAAAGACATTTACAAAGAGGTACATTAATATGACAGCTGGCCAATCATCATTGCTTAATTGCTCACAATAAGCCCCGCCCAGTATATCATATGAATATCATACAATACGGTATTGAGACTAGTGCAGGAATGCAGGATGCTAAATCTTTATTGAGTTTTCCTTGCAAGAGGCATTTCGCTATCCAACTTTTTTGCTGGCAGTGAAAACTCTGTTCTCCTTAGGGAATTCCCCCAATTTTTTTTCTTCTCACTGCCATTATGATTTTGTTTTTAATTCACAAAAAAGGATCCGCATCTCCAATTTCCAAATTTTAGAAAATGTCTTCATTGAAAGGTTTATGATATAAATTAAATGAATATACTATACCACAACCACTATCTGCCATGGATCTACTTCTAAGAATTTAATATTAGACAGATTAAGTGGCCTTAAATTTCAATATTTTTAGGGCAAGGCCACTTTTCTGTAGGGCATATTCCTATATTACAGCACAAATAGGAAGAATTGGAAAGGGCACACAAAATCTCTGAGGCCATGCAATGAGAGGGGCATTGAGGCCAATCAAAGGGGCATCCAAGGCATGGCCTTGGTGGCCATGGATTAATTTAAGCCCAAAAGCACAGGATTTCCAAAGAATTAACTTGAGTGCTTATTCTACCCTCATTCGCAAAATATAAAAAATCCTCAAACTTCTTTAAATGTAAGCAATATCATTAAGAGGTCTGAATACATAGACTATTAAGGGTACTGTGCTAGAGTCACTTCCCAGGTAATATACATACCACATGGGATCATCATCAAAACACAATCCCTGCTGGAGGCGTTCACACTACAAATTAGTCTGGCGTAAGTAGTAGTAAGAATGCAGTCCAAAGTCAATTTATACAATCCTGCTGGATGTATTCACATTACACAATAATCCAGTTTAAATATTAGTATGAACATAGTCCACAGTCAATATATCTTAATAATCCTTGTTGGATGCATCACACTACAATAGTCTAGCTTAATTATATGTAGTAGTATGGATGAAGTCCACATTCAAAATACAATCTGAGCTATCTGCATTCACACTATAATTATTATATAGTTATTTTAATGATAATTATACTTATCATATAGTTACTAAAATTTAAATATAAGTATGAACACAACTCTCATTCAAAAGTCTATGAGAATTGATCTATCACTATTCGTCTATTCGATCTAGCTTTCATTCCCGAATAAATGTGCAAAACTTCACAATGCAAGCAAGATCCTCCTGTATCATTAGCAACCACCTGTACAGCATCAAATTTGTAAAAGAGCAACTGAACCCTTATCACAATTTAATTTATATATGTATGAAAGAAAAATAAAACAAACTAAATGGTAAAAATGGCAAGAACATAGTAAAATTGGTGCCTGGATATAATACTGATAACAAATCAAACAGGAAAATGAGGTGTTAATCTGATGATCAATAGCTCAACACAAAACCAACTGCCAATGAATCGTTTGTAATAATAAGATAAGACACATCCTTGACCCACTAAATCAACAAAACAGTTGATAAATGACAACTGATAAATGACAACTGATAACAACATACTGAGATTCAGTGTTCTATGAAAACACATTACATGTTTATATACACAGGAAATTTTCAGAGAACATTATAGGTGAAATAAATGTGACTGCACTACTGTAAGTCAAGAAACATCTGCGCACATGAAATGGTTGCAAATGTTGCAAGTGATTCAGGACCTTGTTTCATAAAACCTGTTCTCAAGAACAAGTTACAATAACTATTTATAAGCTACCAAAATCATGCCATTTGATTGGCCGAGAGCAAATTTGTTATTGATAACACGTTTTACGAAACAGGGCTGTGAACCACTGGGAATGTTTCTTGCAGTAAAGAAATTCTCATTAAAACATTGCAAAAGTAGCATGCCAAGAAAGTTTCTGGTTCCAGTTCTTACTTTGAAAAAAACACTAAAATAACACTAAGGATCTGAAAGTAGATAATGAGAAATATACTGTACATTCTATGTAATGTCTCTTTGGCAAAAAAGAAGGGCAGGAAAAGACCTTCATTTTAAATCTTTATATTCTATGAACTCTATATATCCATTATCCTGTTTTGCTATTTCCATGTTTCCTTTCTATTGTTTTGAATCCATGCTTGAGCAATTTTCTTCTTTTTCTACATCTCTTTTGGTTCTAAATCATCCTCCCCTTGCTTCATTGATATTTATTTGTTATCTTTCAATATACATGGTGCATGGTAATTAATAATTCTCTATGAAATTCTGAATCTTGACTTAAATCTGTCACACTATACTACAGTGAAACCTGTATCTAAAGACCACTCAAGAGAGACAACAAAATCAAGTCTTTATGAGCAGGTGGTCTTTATGTACAGGTTCCTTAATTACCTCTTTCAATAGGGAAAACACATTCCTCAAGAAATAAAAGTCCAGTCTTTATAGAGAGGTGGTCTTTCTATACAGGTGGTCGTATTTTAAAGGCAAGTTTGATTGTACCTTCCTCCTCGATCTCTACCTCACCTTGTCCTATTAGGCCTGTCCTCATCAATTCGAGTTGGCCAAATATAGCCCGCTATTTTGTGATCCGGGGAAATTAGCCCTAAGTTACATATCACATCTTCATCAGCTCAAAATTCCAGCTCGAGAAATTGGCTTGAGAAATTTGCTGAGTGTTCGCACATAGTGCAAGTCTTTGGGCTGGTGAAAACGGACCACAAATAGCAGGCTATTTTGCAAACTAGCCCAAGATTTCTTGAGAAGATTCCTTGACCAAAATTAATAGTCTACTACTTGCGTCTTTACCTGCCAAATAGCCCGCTATTTCGTGATCAGGCTAATTTCCTGAATCAGAAATAGCGGGCTATTTGGCCAACTTGAGCTGATGAAAACAGGCCTAATGAAAGAGTTTTGAAGTGGGTCAACAAGCCCTAACCCTGATAAACCTCAGACTAGACAAACGTAACTTGTTTGTGATGAACACATTAAACCAACCATAAAAGCATTGTTAGGCATGATAACATTACCTATGTTCACACTCAACTGTGTTAGTCATAAACGTTAAAGACGCATAGTGGTGGGTTTCCACGGCGAATTTGACACCATTCTTGTGTGTTTACCCAATAACAGGCGTTGCCAGTCACCAAGAGTGGACTACACTTTTATGACAGACAGGTATTTTGTAGTTCACAATGCCCTAGCCTACCACTGTATAAAAATTGCATCATATAGTATATGTATCAAATTTCCCTCATCCTCAAGATATAGATGTAGGGCAAGTTGGAGTATTTTCTGGTAGGACCACAGCTTCGCTGCTTCAGAGACCTCTGCACACATATACACATTAATATGTACTTCAACCAAATCTGGTGTCAGCGATTTATGATGCAACACACATGGACACTGACTACTACAGTGTATGTGGCTTTAAGTTTGCGAATACACAAAAATCCACTAAACACAGGGGAGGGTCCACACAGGACTGAAACAATGAGTATATTCAACATATAATTACAAGCTTGGGGAAAGCATTCATTTTAATGACAAGCCCGCATAACCTCATAGCTAATTGCGTCCACACGGAACAAAACATCAAATTAGGACCCCCAGCTGCTCGTACATGTAGTTATGCTTCACAGATCATTACCAAGAGCTTAACTTCAAGTTAATGGACTTTCGTGTGAACCTTACTATCACTAACTTGGCTTGCTATGCCTTATGGTAAGGTGTATATATCTAAAGATGCATCCTGTATCCATGATATGAGTGTGCTGTAAATGATATTATACCATTTCACTTGAAAAACAGGATATACCGGGTACTGATGGCAGGGAGGTAAGAGAGAGAGAGAGAGAGAGAGCGCGCAAGAGAAACAGACAGAGACAGAGAGAGACAGAGAGAGAGAACAAAAGAGAGAGACAGGGAGAGACAGAGGGAGAGAGAGAGCGAGAGCAAGAGAAAAAGAGAGAGCGAGAGAAAAAGAAAAAGAAAGAGACAGAGAGCGAGAGAGAGACAGGGAGAGCTCTAGAGAGAGAGACAGGGAGAGCTCTAGAGAGAGAGACAGAGAGGAGAGAGAGGAGGCCGGGTGGGAGGGCTTGGGGAGGCAAGCAGGGGGGGGGGAGGATGATGGTGCGTGAATAGACATAGACAGATCTATCTCATACACAAAAAGGAAAGTGAAGTGTTAAAATGTCAAGAACTGGTACTTACTCGTTTACAATGTGAACATCTTGGCCTGCGTGGCTCAGTGTTGCCTGCTATAACATGATAGCAATAACAGAATAAAGTCAACTTTTTATCTTAGAGCATAAATATTCCTATGTTATCCAAATATACAACAGTTCATATGTTTTTTCATCTCCGGGTATGAAATTACAAGTACAAGAAGCACTGCTTTAGAATTATAATCCCTATATAGCTATACACTAATTCATACCTGGGTCCCTCTACAAGGGAAATTAAAGCTGAATACTGTCTTGTTTATATATATTAAACATACATGTATTGTATTCATCATATGTTATGATATATCTACATCATGCTATCTACATGTATATTTGCTATGATATCTATGTATATCATTTTATGTTTGTAAAGATGTTTGGAAATCTGAGCAAAGCAAATTTCCTTTGGACAATGAAATACAATTATTGAATTCAAGGAAACTGCATGAAATTAAAATTGTAAAATGAAAACCGCCCTCTTTTGTTTGAGATACTACAGCTTTTTTAGAGACTTGCTATATTAGTAATGTTACATTTTTTCATAAGGAGGTCAAAAAGAGTATTCTCTCTCTTCTCTTTTATCTCTTTCCCCCCTTCCTTCTCACTCCAATTTGTTTCCCTTCATACCTGGAGATTAAAAAAACATTTAGACTGTCTACCAAATCATATTTTTTCAGTGAAGCTGTCTTGATCAAACCTTGTTGGTTTTTCTAACAGATGTGCCCAACTTCGTCCTATCAAAATGTATACATATATTTTGGTTGTCATTTGAAATGCATTAATCAATATGGAAATGCATATCTTTTATTCAATGAACTGTACAATTTTTTGTTTAAACAAAGTGGAATTTAATTTAATAAAGCAAATTGAAGTGAAGATTTTCTTATTCTATAACTTAAGGATTGTACTCTTCCCAATATACTCTATAAAAAATCTGTAAGCGATGTAGGAGCAGAGAGAGAATGATGTCATAATTTGTTTTATTGTTTTGTTGTATTCTCACCTTTGTCCAATATCACTCCAATGCTGTCAGCTGACACTGGCTTCCTGTAATTTGGAAATATAATGAAAGAAAGAGTAGTTTATCAATTATGTTCCTGCAACATAATAATAATAATTTTTATTTTCTTTAATTTCATTCTCATATAAAAAGCACATAAATATTCATAAACATAATTTCAATGCAAATACACCTTCACAAATAAAAATTATATTGAAATGTTGAATAACCTGCAAATTATATTTGAAAATGAAAAGAAAGAATTATAATAAAGCCTGAGAGGCCTCCCTCAGAGAGAAATATAAATAGTTTGCAGAAATATTTACGGTTTTACTTTAAACATATAACAAACACAACAGAAACAAGTATAGTATTATATATAAAGATAACATTTTAGATTACCCTTAAGTTTGCTTTGGTTTTTGACAAATACAAGTCAAACCAACATAAAATCACATCCAAACTGATTAGCAAGATTATCTGGTACCCGATTTATAAGATCTTTAGCTTGAGAAATGATTACACCCGTCCACCCATCCCCTCTCCAACAATCCATCAATCGATCAAATCAATCAAACAAGGCAACTTAAATTGAATAAGTGAGGCAACTTAAACTGGTGTATCATGTGCGTATAGTCCTTATAAGGACTGGGGTATTTTTTCTTGGAGAGATGTGTTTAATAGTTCTGACAAGAACTTGTAGATCTTTGAAGGAGATGGTCTCGACGTTTAGGACAGTGTGCTCTGTCCGTCGTCAGGACTACACACATGGTGTACCCGTTTAAGTTTTCATCACTCATCTACCTCACCATGCAAACCTTTAAAGAAAAAGACAATATAAATTGAATTCACTTACTTCTTAGCATGTTGTCTCTTAGTTCTGTAAATTAGTTCTTCTTCGAAACTGGATGTCTCATATGTCAGTTCAAACCTCTTCAATTCAAGGTCCTTCTGTAAAATAGAAAGCTACACGGAAAAAGATAAAGAGAAAATCTTATTTTATTTTAATAACAATTGCCTTGAAGACTGGTATTGATCAACCATTACTTTGAAAGGTTGAGAGACATGATCTCTAGGAAAGTTGATTTGAACAAAGGGGGGGGGGGGGTGATTCAATCTCTACTAGATATCTTTACACAGACTCACCATTAGCTCAAACTCAGGTACTGATATCACTAACTCATTCTCAGCCGACTCAATCTCTGACTTTAATACAAAGCTCTCTAAGTCTATAAACCTGTTTATCACTTCCAACCTTGAACTTCAAAAGCTCAAACTCAAACTATCTCATTCTTAGCCGACTCAATCTCAATCTCTTTCGTTTGTGTTTTCCAACCTTGAACTCCTTAAGCTCAAACACATCTCTAGCTAGCTCTATCTCATTCTGAGCCTGACTCAATCTCTACTAGATCTCAAACTCAGACTCAACATTAACTCAAACTCAGCTGACTCAATTTCTGACTTACAATTCTCTCTAGGTCTACAATCCTGTTTGTATTTTCCAACCTCGAACTCCATAAGCTCGACCCCTGCTCTAGCAACCTCTATCTCATTCTGAGCCTGACTATCTATCTCTAAACAAACTCAACATTAACTCAAACTCAGCCACTGACATCACTGACTCATTCTCAGACTTACCAAGCTCTCTAAGTCTATAATCCTCTGTTTGTCTCTCCCAGATGTGAACTCCATTAGCTCGACCTCTGCTCTTGCCAGCACCAGCTCATTCTCTGCTTGACTCAGCCTATGATCTGTATCGTCACCAGGGGTATTGAAAGTGGTGGCATCTGTATGTTCAGTAACATCCTCTTTCAGGCCCTGTAACTGGGCTTTCATTCCAGCGTTCTCTTCTCGTAAAGCCTTTAACTTGTCTCCCATGCTCACTGCTCTGTTAACCCATACACACACAAATCAAAATGTGAAATGTTAAACAGCATTGCATTTTTAAAAGTATATGATCATTTACATAAATATGCAAGATGAATTATCAAAAATAAGTTGGGTAACATAATGTACACTGCTGATCATAATATTGGAATGAATTTAACCTCTTTTCATGAAATGATCATGGAAATATGGTTTATTCTTGGTAGATGCATTGTTACGTTCTGAACTTCGCTTCCGATTTATTCTAAACTCATCAGATGCAGTTTAAATATCTTCTCAGAACTTTATTAATCAATCTCTATGACACTTTAATTAATCTGATGCTGATTGGATATGTGACACTTGTTTAGTTTTTTTTTTTTTTAATTCCTTTTTTCTTTCAGATGATTCTGCAGATACTCTTTATTCTGTACGATTGTGATAACTTGTATGATCTAAATGAAAATGTTTTTCCAAGAAAATTGATTACATAGAAAAGGTTTTACAATAGTTTTACAATATTAATTTAATATATTGTATGACCTATACATTAAATTTCTGTTTGTACAATTTATTGTAGCACCTTGAGTGACTTATTTGGTCAGAAAGTGCTCTATACAAATCTATATTATCATGACTAATATTACCTTTGATCTGAATGTTTCTTGGCTTCCATGATCCATTTCATTTTACACAGAAGACTGTCATGTTGAGCTCTCAGCTCATTCAGATTCTGAAACGAAATATGAAGAGGATAGATTAAGTGGAATGAAGGGGATAGATTCAAATGGAATTAAAGGTTTATAGTAGTGGGTCCACATGGGGAATTTGAACAATTCAGTTGTTATTAAACCTAATACCAGGTGTTGTCAGTCACCAACAGCAGACTTTCCTTAATACCACAAACAGGTCTGACATGTACTGTCAATCCTAAATATGAAGGGCACTTAAGGGAAACAAAAACAAGTGGCCACTGTAGACAGGTGGCCATTTAGACAGGTTTGACTGTATTTTAAAAACTCTTAACATGAAAGAATTCAGAACAAGCTTAAATCAGGTACATGTAACAACATCCAGGTTTCAATATCAGAAATGTACATTATTAGACTCACGGTGATTACCTGGTTGACATTCGTTATCATCCTATTATATGTCGTGTAATTCCGTCTAAGTTCATTGTTTTCCTTCTTTCCTGTATTGGTTATTATTTGTGTATCACATTAACTCAAATGAGGGTGCATTGTTAATTAAGTTTAGTTTCTCTTCAGGTGCAAGCTCTGTATTTGACACACAAACTTCAAACCCCAAAATATATACATTACAAATATGTCACATGCATCTTAAAATGTGTTTCTTAACCCATAACAGTTTAATTTCACCATTCAGTGAAATTTTATTTTTCATGTTTTGATCCAGAATGCTCTAAAGTACAAATTGTACCGGAGCAGAAGAAAATACTAAGAATGTAGTAAAAATGTTTGTCCCATATGGTTAAACATAATAACGGATTAAAAGCCAGACAGACCACAAATTAATAAATTCTGAGTGAACCAGTGAAAGAAAAAGTGCAATGTAGTGCTTGTTAAATAAATACATATGTACAGTTAACAACTACAGGGAAATAATTCATACCCTTACCAAATTTTGTATTTTTTTTTCTAAGTTATCTTTCATGAGAATGTGACAATATCAAAGCTTACATCTAAAGGTATTCAAGAAAGACAACGTAAACATCAAATTTACAAAGTGTATGAATAATTTAGTTGTTAACTGCATGTAAGTAAGATCTGATCCATGTAAATTAGAATGATGAAAAGAAGTTTCCATCCAAAAAATTTCCTTGATTCAGAATCAATTATTAATGAGGGCAGTTGTTAACATTAATTAGGACACAGATTAAACTCATGCCATCCCCTCCAGCAACACATGCGACCTAAATGATTAATGCCATGTACCTCTAACTGTGCATTATTAATAAAATCACACAGGAAAAAGAAACAAAAATAAAGAGAATCATTTTCCATACATATCTATCTAAACCACTAGTGTGTCTACATCTAAAGAAGATTACATCCAAAGAATAGTATACAAATAATGAATGGTTATGAGTTTAATAGTGTGAATATTTTCATGATTTGAAAGATTAACATTCTAAAATTAACGTTAATCTTTCAACGAATGAAAATATTCACACTATTAAACAAATGAAAAACATTCATTATTTGTTTTATATAACATCGAAGAAGATCTAATAGACTGTAATCAACAAATTATGTTTTACTCTTTATATTAAAAATAATTAAAGTTGGAGTCAGGCCTTCTCGATTACATTCAGATTGCCTTCGCGTCAGATACACGCAGGGATACGCGCATGGCAGAGAAGTACGCAGTCTGCATATAACCAAAAATGCACGCCTGTGCAATATAACATCTATTGAATATCATGTCACCAACAATCCTCCAATCAAATGACAAGGATCCAAGTAGGTGTTGTATAAGACTGTATATTGAAGACCATGACGGTATATTCAACCTTTCCCTTAATAGACCGGTTTGCTGATATGTACAGTCAAACCTGCTTTAGTGACCACCCGTCTACAAAGACCACCTGTCTACAAGGACCACATTTTTCGTTTCCCTTGAAAATGGTTTCTCATTGAAACATGTATAAAAGGAACCTGTCTACAAAGACCACCTGTCTAAGAAGACCACTTTTTGTGTTTCCCTTGGGCGGTCGCTGTAGACAGGTTTGACTGTACAAATGTTATTCATACTGTCTAATTAAAGACTGTTCTTGACAAACCAAAACCTTGCCCGAGGCTTGCCGGGCATAGCAACAAGTAATGTATGCAGACTGGATTCAAACTATACTAGTTCTTTCATTGTTAACACATTAATAAAATACCTCTAGGTCCCCGGGAAAGAAAAACTCATACATTCTAATATGTCATTAAACCAGTATATTGTTTAAAAGAGGTGAAAGGAGGGCAATCAGGTAATTAGATTGGTAACAGTACGAACAAAAAATTAATTTGACAAGCATTATCAAATTTTATGAATTTTTAATCATGATAATTGTAAGAATTTTAAATTGGGTTTTCATCAGAGAGGCCAACAATTTGCAACTGATAAAGTCTTGTTTTTGAACTATTGGGTTTGAATTTATCCTTATTTCTCAGGGCCTATCATTAGTGAAAGGAAGAGAAAACAATAATGAAATAATACCTTTAAATGTGAATTAAACAGTTAATTCCTTATTTTCCTCTTCAATGCTGAAGATGACTACTTAACATACTATAAGCATACAGTCCAGAACAAATAGTACCGACTACTACGATTCGCTTGGGAGCCTTTTTAGACTATGAATGATGATGATTGGGTTGTGGTGAGAGCTAATATTTCATGGATAATTAACTTAATTATGCTTGGAAGCGTTTCATTCCATCTCGTTTGGCACCCCATCGTTAATGAAATTGTTGCATGCAGACATTTCCATGGATTAGGTTTAATGAATTCAGGGTGAGGGGAGGGATTGTATCCCTGTAAAGAAAGGATGAAATGGGAACACACTATGCGTAATAATTATTTTGAGTACCGATGGTGATATTACCATCAATATTTTAGGTGGAATCTACATGTTGCAATGATCGTTTTTTCATTTTAAATTCTGCAATGAAATTGAGGGAGTGTATTTGAAGGATGGAAATGAGAACCCGATATCTAATTGATCGTGTTAAACTGGATTATTTTCCCCTTTATCTTGAAGGCACACTTTGATGGCAATAGAAACTTGTGTAAAAAAAGAAATTGCTTTCATTAATATATACATATGTGTGTGACCTGATATGGCAAAGACCAACACATGGACTTAAAGGATTAAATTGATTCTTACCTGTTCTATAAATATGGATTTATAAAGGATTAAACTAATTCTAACCTCTCCTATTTAATAAGAGGGATTCTTATTCCCAGTTTAGAAACAAGCTAAACTGGTTTAAACTGATTTAAACTGGTTTTAAACGTGTTCCACCAGTTCCTGTTCTGCCTGATTTATAAGCATCATTCTCTCCATCTCAGCAGTCATGCTCTCTACCATGTATGGTTTGTAAACTGGTTTAAAACTCGTTTATACTGATTTAAACTGGTTCTAACCTGTTCCACTGGTTTCTGTTCTGCCTGATGAGTCAACTAAACATCATTCTCTCCATCTCAGCAGTCATGCTTTCTACCATGTATGGTTTGTAAACTGGTTAAAATTTTCCTTTAAACTGGTTTAAACTGGTTCTAACCTGTTCCACTGGTTCCTTGTCTGCCAGAGGGATTTCACGATCAAACTCTTTATCTCAGCACTCACAATCTCTACCATATTGTTTGTATAGTACTGGTTTTAAAAAACTGGTTTAAACTAATTTATGCTGGTTCTAACCTGTTCCACTGGTTCCTGGTCTGCCTGAGTGATATCCAGTCTCTCCATCTCAGCACTCACACTCTCTACCATGGTTCGTAACCCTTCCATGATCTCTCCTGATGTTTTCTCATAACTTACTAGACCACAGATAGGCGATGGACCCGGGCTTTCATTCACCTAGGCAAAATAAAAGGAAATATTTTTAAGCAAACATTTCCATTGTCATAATCAAGGTCCTCAAGGTCCTCAAGGCCTAAATCATCGACCAAATAATAGGAATGACTGAATATTTGCTCATTGTTTTTTAAACATGAAGGTGAACAAAAAGATTAATTTGTTCTTTATTTTTGCCCTACTCACTTTTTTTATAGTCTGATGTTATTACATTGTGATACATTTCAAATAAACATAAACAATAATAGGCAAGTCAAAGCCATTCCAGAGGAAATAAAATGTTAAAAGTTATTTAGCTTTTCTTTCGTAGATCGGGATAAAAATTCAAGAAGAAATGAATATAATACTCACTACTATTCTGAGTTCACTGAGTAGGTTTTCATTCTTATCGATCAGCTCTTCACCAACACTAGATCTCATTGGTCGAATCTCAGACTTCTCTAAATCTCTTTTCTCTATTTTCATTGCCTACAAAAAAAAGATAAAAAACCCATTACAATTATACAGAAAATGATCACTCTCTAAGAAGAGAGACAATATGACGGTTTACTAACATATTCAAATGTTATGCTTACTTTTGAAACAAAGGTTGTACTCAGGCGCGTACACAGGGGGGGGGTGTTTGGGGGGTTAAACCCCCCCCCCCCCCTTTGGTAATTTTTTGTGTGTAAACCCCCCCCCCCCCTGAATTTCTCTATTCCCATGGTTGACCTAAAAAAGCTGACCTTACCCCCCCCCCCCCCCAACGGAGCAAAATGTCAAATTTTCAAATTTCGAGACCAAAAAAAAAAAATATGTGTCCTCTTACCCCCCCCCCCCCCCCCCCCCCCCCCCCCCCCCCCCCGCTTATTCAGCGGTCGGCTGAGTCGTTGCGATTTTTGTGGGACAAAAAAAAAAAAAAAAGTGACCTCTTACCCCCCCCCCCCCCCCCCCCCCCCCCCCCCGCTTATTCAGGGGCTGGCTGAGTCGTTGCGAAATTTTCGGCCCGATTTATAAATGTTAAAACCCCCCCCTTGAAAAAATCCTGCGTACGCGGCCTGGTTGTACTTGACAACCTGAAGCTTGTAAAAGGCTTTATTACGTGAAATAGCAACAAGTAATATGCAGACTGGATTCAAAGTATCTAAGTTCATTCATTAATAACAAATTAATGGTATACCTCGTCACTAGGTCCCCAGGAAAGAAAAATTGTTAATTTAAATACCGGTATGTGAGTAAATCAGTATATTCAGTACATGTAGCTGTGGGTGGCAAAGACCCCAATACATTCTTAATTTTATAAGAATCATTTATACATTGTATGAACCTGCCAGTTTCTCGCGGCTGTTTACCCATGTAATAAGGAAACGGGGCCGAGGTTGATTTGTACATGTAGCTCTAAATATAGAGAGCGATGTTACAATAATATTGTTAATCTGCTACCTCACATCTACAACTCTGCATGCCTATACGTACAACCTTGACACACTTGGACTAAATCAATTCATTACCCGGTGATATTTTAATTATAAGGGTCAAAAGATTCAATTAGAAATGATCTTTTAATCTGGAGCAGGATATGAACCTACCTATTCCAATATAGCAGACAAAACGTGTACAAGTATCTTTTGGCCTACAGCAACATTTTAGATATTTGGGGGTTAACGTTTATCAATTTTAAAGGTACCGGTAATACAAAGTTTTGGTATGGGGTCATGAATTTGGTTCAAATGAACATATTGGAAGCATATGCAATTTTACAATATTCAATGATCCTTGTTGTGGTTGAAATGGAGTCTAAATTGTGAAGAAAAGTGATGAAATTGTAATATTAAACTCTTTATGTTGTATAGCGCCCTCTCAAGACTGATATTACTTTAGTTTTAAAAGAATGTTTCTTAACTACAATCAAGCGATTTGCTATTCCCGTTTGGAAATAATATATCAGAACAGCATATTCTGAGATTTCCATTGTCGCAGCAAACACGGAATGGCATGGGCGCTATTTGAAATATATGAAATTTACAGGGAGCACCAGTAAATTTGTAATTATTCAATTTCTCGAAAGCAGAAGTATTTTAGGAGCTAAATTTTGTAGTGCTTATAATAAATCCACAGGGGCATCTAAATATGTATATCAACATTTTAGATAATTACTATCCATCCAATTTTCAAAATTTACCAAAACTTTGCATTACCTTTAACAGTCCCACTTTTTTTTCCCTCTGTTTTATTTAAAGGTTATGAGCATATAAAAGATAAAAAGCACGTTTAAAAAACACTGAATAATGTTTGATCAGTGTACACAGTCAAGAGGTGATGCTCCCTTAGGTAAACAATGACATTTGGTCTTGAAATAAAATTGAGCTAATCTTAGCACAGTTTGCATAGCAATACCCTTCAAATAGTTCCATTGTTTGCACATACTTAACAGACGAACAGCTGGTAGTATCTCATAATTGGTAGCTACTTCAACCAATGTGTCAAATATGGGATCTATACCTTCACCAAGTTTGTGCATACATATGTATGTAGGGTAAAGGTAATATCAATATAAAAATAATAATAATGAATACAAAACAATAATGATTTACCGGTACCCTGCATTACATTTATAGGATGTGTTCATAGTATTCTGTACAAATGTACTATTTTTAGCCTTGTACATGTACATGCTGTATTTGGTAGCCTGCGTTTGTTTGTTTGTATGAGTTTCTTTATATTGTTATATATTCAAGAGATACAAAATGTGACAAGAGAAATGGCTGTGTTGTTGTATCACACAGATGGATCATTACAAGCAATTTGACAAGGACCGTATGAGAGGGTTGCCCACAGATGCAGATGCAAAAAAATAGAGCTGTAGTTCACCCTCACATTTGAATGACTGAAAACCCCTAAAGATTTTGTACACAAAATTCTGGGTCGATAAACAATGATCATCTGAGAAGGATACTAACATCCCAGAAACGGGACAACTTCATATTGGTGTAACTGTAAGTTGAACCCACTAGGTAGCAGTACAGATTTTTGGAGTGCGTACTTTTTAACGCACACATATGACGTTATTTCAAGTCAGAATGGGCTGAATTGGGGGTTACTGGTAGTGCAATCACTAATTTGGCTTATTGAAATAAATGTACAATAATATAAACAGGTATGTAATAGCTTCTTTCTAAGGAAATGGTTTATTAGGTAGATAGACATAATGTACATGTAATACAAGACAGTGTATTTCATAAAATATGCTAGCATTTTGTTTGTTTTTGTGCAGAGCTCTGTGGAAAACCAGCATTGTTTTTATGATCTTTTATCTGTATTTTCTATATATCAATTGCTTTTTGCTGTACATAAATTGTATCATTTTATATTTTTTGTAACTGAACAGGCTACTCTGTTCAAAGATGTAAAATAAATAAATTGACAAGGAACTTACCTGAAAGGCTGTTTGAAGGTCTTTATGACTCTTATACAGCTCAATGTAATTCTTGTTCTCCTGAAAGAAATACAGAAAATTAAAATAATACAACAAAATGACAACTATTACAGCCCAAGACACAGAACATGATTAGATAAATCACTTGTAAATTGCTAATAAAGCCAGGCATATGCATATTAAATTTGGTGACATTACAAAAAAAGTCTTATTGCCCATGTTTGTACAGTTGTGCATTGCCAGCTCGTTTTACATGTATCATTTAGAAAATTCCCTTAACAACAGGTTGTAGTGCATGAATATGTTGTGAACAGAAGATCCAGCATTGTTGGAAATAATAACTGATGGTAGTAGAGATAGATACAGCCTGCAAATTATCAACACACCAAATATTCTGAATAACATGTCTGATATGCTGGAATAGGCCATGATGCACACATCTTTGTTAAGTACCTCAATACAAATCATGTCTTCCACCTGTTTGGAATAGATGTATCTCAATAGTCAGAATTCAATGTGCATATACATGTATATTAGTTGTCGCTAGGTAGAACAACCATGGCAGCTTGCCCTACCTACTCCATGTAACACATAATATAATTATGCAATTTGTATTCCAACTATTGAAATACAATTATTCATAACAGATTAATGAAATTTGTAACAAGGCACATAACAAAGATTTGTGATTACATTACAAAAATGTACATCAAAAGAGCAGGAATACATCTCATCTTCCAGCATACCTACACTTGGGATGAGGTTTTCTTTCAAATGTAACCCACATACTCTCAAAATAAAGTGTACAAATTTATGCACCAGAATCATACAAATCCCCCCCCCCCCCCTCCTCCCTACTCATTCCCATTCTATCTGTCCCCTCCTTTCCTCTCTCTCTCTTTCTTTTCTCTCTCTTTCCTCTTTCTACCCCTCTTTCTTTCTTTCTCTCTTTCTCTCTTTCTCTCTCTTTCTCTCTCTTTCTCTCTCTCTCTCTTCCTTCTCTCTCTCTCTCTCTCTCTACCCCTCTTTCTCTCTCTCTTTCTTCTGTCTCTCCCTCTCTCTCTCTCTCTCTCTCTCTATAGCTCTCTCTCCCTACTTACTTAACATGTATCTATATCTACTACCATCATACCTCCATTCTGAAAAGGAGTAACTTCTTGTTCTACATAGCTTTCACATAATGAGTTCACATCTATAGAAGATATCTCTCATCTCACCCTACATCTTACTTTATCCTCTTGTCTTATATTTTACGCCATTATCACTTTCGCTTAAAGCTAATCTTGAGCTCTGGTATGGATATTGTATGTTGAGAGAACATGGCTATAATTCATTCTGGATTATTTATCCTGCAGTAGATTGATTGTTTGAACCAGTAAAATAAATACAACCTCAAAAAAACTTGCTGGAAATCATCTTCAATAAAAACCACAACTCTCATTTGTACATAGTGACCTGCGTGGTATTGGGCCTACTAACCTTGATTTTCTTTAATATCTAAGTCCTATGCTCATTACTCAGCCTCTATACATTTCCTACCAAAATCGTATTGCACATGTCATTTATTTGCAATCTTGAACATTCAGTATAAGTTTGTTGGATTCTTTGAGAATCAATTTTCTATCATTACCAGAACTCAAGCTTATCTTTAAATCCTGCTGAACATACACACACACACACACACACATACTTGTAGATGCCCTCGAATGAGGACCTATGAAATAACTCTCGCAAACATGGACTTTTTAAATTCCTTGTAAATGCCTTCAAACATGGACTCATGAATAAGGCCGTCAAACATGGACTTGTTAAATTCCTTGTTAATTAGGCGTTTTAACATGAACGTATTAAATCCCTTGTAAAGTCCTTTGAAAATGGACTTGATAACTTTAACCCAATGAAATGGACCTTTGACATTTATTATTTATACACATACATATGTACCTCCGAATGTGGACGTACTAGTTTGGCTAGGAGGAATTAGACCACCCAGGGTGGTCATGACAGGTGGCTATCTCATCAACTCAGCTCTCGATCAATTAACATAAGAAAAAGAGGATCATGGGGGACCAATAGTCACCGATTAGGCATTGTATTCTATAAATGGGGAGCAAGTAGATACAAGTAGTACGATGGGGCTTTAAACGCCTTCAAGAATGGACTCAGTAAATAAACAGTACAAGCATGGACCTTTGACATTCCTTCTTATACATAACTTCAAACGTGGACTTGGTAAACTAGCATATTGAACGTGGACTTGGTAAACTAGCATATTGAACGTGGACTTGGTAAACTAGCATATTGAACGTGGACGTTTGACATTAGATAACACACCGGTACTGTCAAATGTGGATTTTTTAAATTAATCAAGCAACTATGGACTGCTTACTTTCCTTGTTGTTTGTTGTACATGGTACCAGAACAAAAGCAAATTATTCATAAATAACTATGTGAGCGTTATAGATGTGAAAATATATATTACTGGTATATACATTCTACTACGTTTGTCATGAAACCATTTCCGAACATATCATATTCTGCATGTTATACTACGTACTCTACAACATAATGGACAACACGAAAGATTAAGGGTAGGCAACAATAATGGCAAATGCCATTTTTTAATCAAACAAAATATGCTTACGTTTTCATACACATAATCGTATGAAGTACATGGTCACAAGCTGGAGTACGTGATATAAAACTATCAAACACAATGATCCAAGTAGGGAACCAAATGTCAAGTTCAAAAATTTTAAACAAATTACAAAAACATGTTTTAGTAAGAGAAAAAGTGACTTGCATAACAAACATATATATAGAACTCATAATACATGTATGGAATTTCAACACAATTAAAGTGTTCCTTTGACGTAGCGTAATAGATGCCAACGTCACAAATATGCTGTCACAATTAAGACTGTTTAACAGGTGCAATGAAAGATATAAAAAATTGTAGGTGACATACAATAAATCATGTACATCTTCATAATATTTCACAGGCTTCAAGGTCTGTGTGAATGGAAATTTATCTAGCATTACAAGAAATTCCTTTAAGAGCAAAATATCTTTAACAGGATTCAAGCTGAACACTAACTCGCTAGAAAATGGCTATAAAAGGCATATAACTATCGGTACAACTGAAATAATTAAGTGTGACCTCCGTTTAAAGCTGTAATTTGCATTTAGGACAATTCGTATTAATTTTCTATTTCTATTTTTTCTTGCCAAACTGCATGGATCTGATTTTGTGCAGCTGATTGACCGTTTGCAGCTATAAAACTCACCAAAGAAAATTTGTTTTCTGCCCCCAAGCCAAAACAGTCTGTCCCTGAAAGGTTCAATTTAAAGTTATATTTCAGATATCTCCATGAAAAGCATGGTCTTGCTGGGCGCTTGCAGCCCTGAGTTATTGCACTATATAGGCTTACATAGTTCTCCGTTATGGGTTATAAACTCGAAGGGTTTGATTCTTTTCTTTTTGTTAAATCCTATGAACACGATCCCAATAGTTCATGAAAATTTACCTATATTTACGGATGTGCACCCTGAACCTTAATGATACCAATGACAAGGTTCAATAGTAGTAGACCAGTATACATTAACTCATAACAAGTGAATACAATAGTTCATCACTAGGTGGGAGAAGAGGCCATCAATATGAATACATTTGTGGACTGGTGTATGGTTAAATGACAACAAATTACAAACCTTACAAATCACATACTCCTAATCTTCTTCTTCACAAAACACTTTTAAGGAACAACTGGAGTTTTTACATTGTTGTACTTATACAAAAGAACTTAAACTGTACCACAGGTATAACTAGCTAAACTGCTCATTGGGTAGCTAGTAACAAGTAAATATTTCATTTGGTGGCCTCAAGAATTTCATACTGTTTTTTTAGACTCGAGATAGGTTGTGACTACAAGCCTTCAAAGTAATTGTCCATCAATAGAAACTTATAAATACAAATAACAAATATGCCTAACCCTTTTTCAAAATATACTGTTAACACATAACCTTTTTTGTAAATACAAACATAACACTGACAGTGGCAGATTCAGGAGTGGGTTTGGCACCCCCCCCCCCCTCAGAAAAAATTGTGTTTTTCAATCTTGTCTGTGTTTGGTTACAAGAATATTTTGTGTGAGCCTGAATTACACCCTTGTTGTTGTTGAAAATGTAAGAACCTTTGTATTAAATTGTTAACCCCCCCCCCCCAACCCCCACCCTAGCTAAGCAGGGTTAGGACTATACAGACAGAAACAAGTTCATTTGTTCCGTGTAAATCAGTCTGAATCTGTCACTGCCATTATATTTTTAGTAAAAAGAACTACATAACACATAAAAATTTTAGCCCAAAATTCTAACGTTGAAAGTGCAATAACAAACTGTATGACTTGAGTCATAGAGCATATATTGAACTACAAAATAAATGTGGGATTCACACTTAAAAAGTCAAGGAACCAACTGTTTCCTTTCATACTGAACTGAAAGATAACATATCTCTAACAATTTTAAAGTTATTCTAGACTTATAAAATAATCTCTTTTACTCAAAATTATGGCTTTTTTATCATTAAATATACCAATTACCAAGAGATGTAGATTAGATCTGTCAATCAGAGTGAAGTAATTTTGTTACTATCAAGTTGTTAGCATTTTATCTCACTCCACAACTGTAGTATAAAGGACGTCCATATTTGTTGTAATATTTCTAAAAGCCCCAGTGCATATGAGAACCTCTTTAACAAACTTAAGATGATTATTTTCATATATATAAACGTTATAATGCGTTGACATACAGGTACTGTACATGTTTATTCTTTGCCCCTAAATCCTGGTCAGCATACTGATAAAGCTGAAAACTAGTTTACTGATTAAAAAGAAATTAAACATATATGATCCATGTGCTTTAAGTAATATAAAACGATACCTGTGACATAATTTATGTCTTTAAATTCCTTGCTCATACACAGTATACATACAGTCTTCATTTATACCATATTACATCTTTGAAATCTACAGTGCTTAAATCAATTGCATCAATTAAATGAGGTGAATTGCTATTAAACGCATTTATCTACACAAAATAATGTTGAAGTCGTACATATATTATGTGGAGAGGATTTATATAACTTTCATTAAAAACCAAATGATGAAACTGTTAGGGAACATTTGTTTCTTTCATACTGATCTAGAACAAATGAAACCATAATATATAAATTTAGATTTCAAATGAAGAGCATGAAATATTCTATATACCTATAATTATTGCTTCTCTTATATGAAGTTCCCATCCATCACCCTTCATATAATGAATGGGCAAAGTCATGTCACCAAGTTGCTGAATTAATTTCACTCGATAGCTTTTTACTTCAATAGAGCTACACTACATGAACTTCCATACCGACTGTAGATATTTTACATAAACAAAAGGAAATCTATTTGTTGGTGCAACATTTCTCGAAACCCAATTAAATGTGACTACACATTTTCAAAGTCTCAACTTTAAATAGAATCACAAAAGAAACAGGACATACAGACTACTTCCATAATATGAATCTTTCACGTATGAACTAAAGTAATCAATGAAATCAACTGAGGGTATCCCACATTTAACTAGTGACTGCATTATCTACTCCAAAAAAATCAACAATAAATTTTGTCTTTAGGGTTTGATAAAATCTCATAATGCATACATGAGCAGCATTACAATACATAACACATTTCTCCTGTACATGTATATCATCAGTTCTGAACCTAAACCTTCATGTATGAACTTAACAAATCAATTCCAAAAGGGAGGAGGGAGAAGGGATCTTGCCGAATTTCAAGTCAGGCAACAAACATATCTTTTTTCTGTCTAACTAAAGTGCCCCAATTATTTTGCATATATGTACAAGCACACAATGATAACAAATCATTTGGCAACAGCCTGACACGATAAGTCCATTGCCACATCCCCCTCCCCTCCCCTTTTGGGAGAAATGTCACAATGTCTACAGGTATATATAATATGTATCATGATGAGCATTCATAAATGTACTTTACATCTTCAAGAATCCCATTACATCCTTCTTCCGAATCTGGTTTCGAACGAAATCTTTCACGTTGGTCCAAGATCGATCCCGAAAGGTTTGTGGCTCTGCATTGAAGAGTTTCAAAATATGTGCCTTTCCTGGTAGGGTACGTCTTAGGAGAAATGAGCCCAAATGGTCTGCGACAGTTGTCTTCTCTTTCAAAGTCCAGACTTTCCTGATTGGATGATTCTCAGAAGGACTTTTTGATTTCCCAGAGTAGGCACTACAGTCTGTTTACCAAGGAGAATATATATCTTTTAAACCTTCAATCAGAAAATATATTTCATTTTGAGACAAAACAGCACATATAGCCCTACGTCCATGCCTTTGGCTCCCAGATAGAATAGAGTGAAACTGTCATGAAACATAAAACTAGAACTACATGTATACATTATTCAAGTGAAAATACCCAGTACCATTTTTTGGTGGAAAATAATATAACCCTACATGTTGTATTAACAGGAAATCTCTCTCTCTCTCTCTCTCTCTCTCTATATATATATATATGTGAAGTATATGTGAAGAAAATATGCTTTGGTCGATTCATCAAGTACTGGGTGTTCTATTTTTGTTAGGACAAATAATGAAACGTTCAAATAGTGCAACTGCATTCTAACAATCATAATTCAATCAATTAAAGCAGCCCTGACTCAAAGAAACTATATGCACCACTGGCTTTCAGCTACTGACTAGGATTTGACTTTCTCTTGTTTAACATACCTTCTGTCCTCACAGTCACCAAAGGTGAATCATCAGACTGCACATCTTCACCCTCAGAATCTGACTCGGCATCAGTGATGTACTCTACAAAAAATCAAAAGAAATATTTATAATTAGCATAAGTTATGTTATATCAGGCCCGTAACAGTGTTTTTATGTGTATACAAATATTCTGAAAAAGTATTTTTCTACATGAAAGGAATTAGCCTCATAGAATTATTTAGGACAAACTAACAACAGGAATGAAATTCATGCATGTCTTATATATAATTAATTTATAGTTTCAGTAATAAACATTTTAATTCATTATGAACACAACATGGTTCGACATGATTACAATGCTTAGCTCACGACAGATGCATGCAGATTTCTCTCTCTTTCAATCTTTTGGACATCTATCAAACAGTCTTGCACAAAATCGCCAATTATGCACCCCCCAAAATATCTTAATTATTCATCTACTTTTTTTCTTTGTTAAGGGTCCTACGGTTCTGTATCCCTTTTTATAAAGATATATTGAATATGAAAAAGAAAATCAAATTTATTAGTTTGAAATTGCTGGAATATACATGTTTATGTTCAATACATTGTTGTTGTGTTTTTTCTGTTACTTTGATTGCTACTATTATGTACATGTATTCATGAAGGACACCATGGAAGAACAGCGGTATTATATTGATACCCAGCTGGAATGGGCCATCCGCCATATTTTTTATTCAATTTACACTATGTATTATGTATTATTGATTTATGAAAATAAAAGCAAACAAAACCTGCACGTTTTTCTACTCTAGTTGTTCTTTGCAGTTTGCATGAAGAATTCAAAAGAAAATATTATGCACTTTACCTTCACTGGGATCCAACTGCACTTCCTCTAGTCCTTTATTGGCAAGACCTTCAAGATCTCCCCTCTCCATCTTCAGAAGAACTTTTGAAACCTTCGCCAGTTGCACTGTTGAATCTGGGAGTCTATAGTATTCCCGATGCGTTCTGATGTCATGCCCAAGGAAATTAGCTAAGACATCTAGCTCATTTTCCTTTAAATTCATAATCTGGGCTACAGTGGCAATTTGCTTTCTCAGATGTGTTGCTCTGAGATGTTCTGGATGTTCAGCATTACATTTGGTGGAATGAACACGGATAGCATCGCATGCTCTCCGGTGCCCTTCCCCTGATCCAGCAAACACATATGTGTTGCTCTCCTCGATGCCAGCCTCACATCTCCTCTCTTTCAACAAGTCCATTGCCCTCTTCATTGTCGTTGTCAAAAGTACAGGCACCGTCCTCAAACGTTTTCCCACGATTTCGACTCTCCATAGAACTCGACAAAGTGCTCTCTCCCACTTGCTGAGAGCACCATCAATTATACCACCTTCTCCTTGCGAGCAATTTTCATAATCTTGCATGGTCATTTTTGAGACCTCTCCAGGTCTTTTCCTGTTGAAGACAACAATATGTGCCAGCAGTACTTCAGAAAGATTATGCCATTCATGTGCAATTCTGTTGGTGTTGCTCTCTTTCTCAAGCCCATTCAATTTTGCATGCATTTCTCCCTTGAGATGTTTCGCAAATTTGACTACATCTTCGGTAAGTGGCAACAACTTTGGGTTATTTCTTCTTCCTTCTTGAAGACTTCTTAGTGCATGGTGAGTTACATAGCTCCCCCATTGAAGGTCATACAGGGTCAAGAATGCCTTGCAACTTTTCTTGATGGCAGAGTTCTGCGTCATAATGGCTTTTCCTTGTAGAATCTCGCAACAAGTCTTCAGACCGTGTCCGATCTTTAATGCAAGACTGGGGGTTTTGTAGACATTGTTTTCAGCACAAAATCCTGCAGCCAGTTTTGTAGCAGACGTCACTGCAACAAACTTCTCAGGACGTATGAGACTTGCAAGATCGACATTGGTCTCCCCTGTCATTGATCTGTACTCGAGGACCATTCTTCCTAGCTCCCTTGACCGTTGCCTGATATAGTTCTCTTGGTCTCTGCTATGTCCATGTTTCATGGTTAACTTCTCAGCAAATTTTGTTATTAGGTCATCCGACCTGACCACAGCGGCTATATTGTCATCGATCATGTTCGACAGGATTTCAATGGTTCTCGTATCCACCCCAGGAGTATTTGGTAGCAGCATTTTGGCAGCACGCACTTTTCCTCGTTTCTTTGTTTTCCCAGATGGTATACTATCAAGTATCTGGCTGCACTTGTGTTTCCACAATTCTGTCTTCGTGATAAAACCATAACAGTTTGAGCAGGGAACGTAATCTGATGGATCTGACTTGTCTGCTGGCCTATGAACAACAATGAGTTCTCCAACTCCCTTCTTCAGGACAGAGATATTGTGTAGGTAGTTTCCATAATTGCGCATTAGTGTCAATTGTCTCACTTTATCCTTTTGGTCTTCACTAGAAAGCCATTTCTGCACCTGTGGTTCGTTTCTGTGTTTGGGAGTTTGTAAATGGCGAGGTAATTTCTTCTGAGGTTCCATGCAGAAAGGACAATATTGGACTTTATCCCAGCTTTTACTTCTTCCATTTGCTGTGGCATTCACTTGTATCCCTGAAGACCTACTGCAGGCATGCAATACTGCTTTTGAGGTGCTGTCTACATGATTCTCACTGGTTGATGCTTCATCTTCATGAGTGGGTAGACAACCACGATGAATATTAAAAGATCCAGGGATAGGAATGACAGGACTCATCTCCCTTTCCCCAACATCATCATCAGATTCCGGTATGTAATCCGGGTCAGAATCATCTGTTAGATCTGTAGTAGTTTCCGACAGGTCTGACACCTCTGACATGGCCTGAAAAAAAAAACAGTAAGAGAAACTGAAATTAGAGTCCATATAGAAAGCAAACATCAAATATCTCCTGCTGAATTGGTCAAATGTAAGTACACTATTAAGGCAAATTATGTTTTATAGGTCCCCTGACATGCATGTTTACTTCTATGCTGGGTCTGCATGATAGATCAACAAACCATTAACTGTTTTATCTTAATGTGTATTATGTATGTTTTTAAAGATTTTTTGTGTGCATTTTTCTAGACCCTAATTGTTAAAGTCCCACCCTGCAAAATCCTCCAGATCAAACTGTGCCTATTGTGAAGTTTTCTGCCAGCTTAGATAAAAGAGTACAATATTATACACCAATAATACCATAGGTGCATCATCAACTGGTTCTTGAGATAATGTGATCACAAGCTATTTTTGCATACAGAATGAGCCCTGTGACCTTTGACCTTGTGACCCCAAAATATAATCAGTTATTGATTTTGCGAGATACATACATTGATTTTGCAAGATACATACATGAATTAAGTTTGGCGGGAACCCATCAATCGGTTCTCGAGATAATGCGATCACAAGCTTTGTATGCATACATAATGAGCCCTGTGACCTGTGACCTTGTGACCCCAAAATCTAATCAGTTAATTGGCCTTGCAAGATACATACATGACCCAAGTTTGGAGAAAATCCATCAATCGGTTCTTGAGATAACGCGATCATGAGAACGGACGTACAGACGGGCGGACAGACGGACAACCCAAAAACATAACGCCTCCGAAAACAGTTATTAATGCATTGATCTATAAACCTATTAATCACCACACCCAAAATAAAGGGGATTGATTTTCCTCAAACAACACATGTGTTGGTGTACTGGTGAAAAAAAACCTTCAAGTATGGACTTGCTGAATTAATACGACAAACATGGACCTAGCTATTTAAAACTGTTAAATTTCAATTGGTGTGATTTAAAACCTTCAAATGTGGACTTGCTAATTTAAGCAAACAAACATGGACTTTCACATTCCTGGATATTTATTACTGTATACAATTGCTAATTATGGTAGAGAATGTATTTGTAGTGTATAGGCAAGTAAATATTTGCCCTAAGTATGTTTACATCATTGCCCACATGCAAGGAAATTTATTAAAAACATTCTTCTTAATTAACAAAACATTTTAGAAATACATACATCTAGGCCTTCTGGTCCCTCTTCACTTCCATCTATGACACCTGGGGAATCTGAGTCCGGGTTATAGCAGGCATCAACCTGGCTGCAAGACATGCTGTTACTCAGGGAGTGTACCTCTTGCCTAGCTGTCCCATTATCATCGGATGTTGGTGTGCCACCCTCTTGAGAGTGGGGTAGTAGTTGACTGGTGGATGGTGTTCCTTGGATAGGACACTGGTGAGAGCTTTGGTTGCTGATGTTGTTCATGATTGGTTGTGATGCTGGCTTGGATGTTGCATCTGGCATATAGGGCAGCTTATTGGTGGTAGTGGAGGTGACAATGTCCATGCTGTTGGGTGTCGGCAGCTTGTTTATAGCCGTTTCCTGCATGTTACTGGAGGTGTGCTCCACAATTGGTGTGTGCAATTGGGTCTGAAATTTAAATTAATATTTGAGTTGAGTTTCTGATACACTCTGAAGTAAAACATTTATTGTGACAACTACATAACATTTTGTCTTAAGGCTGCTGCATGCCGAAAACCTATATGAAACATATGAAAAGCATTAATGGCTATATCGCAATATCATCAGCATACCTGCAGTACTCCAGATTTTGTACATGTATGGTGAAAGCCTAAAATCATCAAGAATAATTGGCACAATAGTTTTTTATTTCCTTATAGCCCCAGAAAAGTTAACAAATTTCCAATGGTCCACCTAATTTTATTTCAAACAACACATTTGTTTGTGTACTGGTGAAAAAAAACCTTCAAGTATGGACTTGCTAAATTAATACGACAAACATGGACTCATTTACATGTATTCTAAACTGTTAAATTTCAATTAGTGCGATTTAAAATCTTCAAATGTGGACTTGCTAATTTAAGTAAACAAACATGGACTTTCACATTCCTGGATATTTATTACTGTATCAATATTGCTCATTATGGTAAAGAATGTATTTGTAGTGTATAGGCAAGTAAATATTTGCCCTAAGTATGTTTACATCATTGCCCACATGCAAGGAAATTTATTAAAAACATTCTTCTTAATTAATTAACAAAACATTTTAGAAATACATACATCTAGGCCTTCTGGTCCCTCTTCACTTCCATCTATGACACCTGGGGAATCTGAGTCCGGGTTATAGCAGGCATCAACCTGGCTGCAAGACATGCTGTTACTCAGGGAGTGTACCTCTTGCCTAGCTGTCCCATTATCATCGGATGTTGGTGTGCCACCCTCTTGAGAGTGGGGTAGTAGTTGACTGGTGGATGGTGTTCCTTGGATAGGACACTGGTGAGAGCTTTGGTTGCTGATGTTGTTCATGATTGGTTGTGATGCTGGCTTGGATGTTGCATTTGGCATATAGGGCAGCTTATTGGTGGTAGTGGAGGTGACAATGTCCATGCTGTGGGGTGTCGGCAGCTTCTTGCTAGGCGTTTCCTGCACGTTGATGTTAGTGTGTGGCATGACGTTTGGTGTGGGAGGCTGCAATTTAAATCAATACATGAGTCTGATTTTGGATACACTATGAAGCAAATGTTTATCATGAGAGCGATGTGACGTTTTCTGTATAGTTGTTTGTATATTCCATTATATCATTATTTGCAAAATCTCAATATCGTATAAGAAAAATTATAGTGCTGGAGAATCTACAGTCACCTAAAGCGTACATTTAAATTATCGACTCTAGAGTTGTATGATATTATTGACATAAATATTTGAATACCACTTGTACAAAGTAATTATATAATATTCTTTTTCATCATCTTTTTTTGAAAGTTTTTGAAGTGCTCTCCTTAAAAGGTCCAAGGATTGATAGAGTATAGGGCAGCGTGGAATAAGGGCATCAAGGAAAACTAATGTCCAACATTGTGCGATAGTAAATGAAAAGAACAATAATGATGGAGGTGGTAAATTAGCTTTTGCAAAAACTGGATAATGTTCATATTTCACCAGTAAATACAAAATAAAACAAAGTGTAATATCGTACCTGCCGCCATGGCAAATCCTTAGTGCCGTAATCGTATCGTATTTCCTCCCCCACCTGAATATCGTCACATGCAAACAGACACAGATGTGGACTTGAGTCATGCAGGATGATTTTCTTCATTACAGAATTTGGTGCCTTATGATCATCATTAATCCAACGGCCTAACCCCGCCTCTGGATCAGATGCATCAATGCTGCAGTCGCAAGATAAATGAAAAAAGATTGCATGCTTAGAGGTAGCATGAAACTATACTGAACAAAATACAGCTCAAATAGACCTGTGTACAAATGTTAGAGTTAAGGCTCATATTTCAAAATAAAAGTTATAACTAATACATACCAGTATTTTTGTTGTTGTAAATATTTGCAAGCCCTGGCATTTCCAGCCCTAATTGGCAAGTACAATTAATGAAGAATGGCATGAAATTTATAAGTGACCTATTTTATCAATAGAACGTCGGAATTTAATGATGAGAGGGGGAAATGAAAAGATTTTTGGTTGATCGATACAAAACTATGACCCCCACTATTTTCAGTACCAGGGTGATTTTTTTGCCCAAATTTGAACCCTCTTCTGAAAATACTTGAGAATAACATACAAAATGCAAGTAAATCATTATTCCACCAAATTATAGCTACATATTACCCTTCGTGATCACATGCATGGTCTAGCTCATTTTCATCATTGCAGAAAAGGTTTTAAATACTTTGATAAGGCACACAGGCCACACCTATTCCATCATATCTTCTTAAAAAAAACTCTACAAATGTTTATGGTATCATTGCAGAAATCATGAACACAAATAATTCAAGTCACTATAATTGATCTGAAATATAAATAGCAGCATACAGTATGGTAACAAATTGATGAAATAACATAGTTGTAGTTTTCTTTATTTTCATTTTTCTTGAAACAGAAATTAAAGAAACTTTACTAACCTGTAGTTCACACCTGTATGAAGAAAATGAAATGTGTAGTCATTGTCTTCATCTGCATCTAATGTCTCACTGAAAATCCCTCTGTATTCTAGAAGAAAATCACCTTTCTGGAAGTGTTTGCATGTGAAAAGTCCATGACCTGAAGTGGAGTACACATGATATTTTACATTCTAAAGCTTACAAAAATATTCCTTACAATAGTCTGGAAAGTTCGGCTTCGTAAGGCATTAGCTGTTAAAATGGTTCAACAAAGTTTTATGAATTAAATGCGTAATTTGGGTGGCATAAGCATTCCACATAAAGCCATCTATGCCCTCTAATATCCACTACATTTGTCTTCACTCTGCTGCTCTGAAGTTTAAATCTACTAACTTATGAACCATAATTTTGTGAAATCAAAGCTTTGCATTTAATAATTGTACTGGCTTATAATTAATTGCAATTAAGGTACATGTACATGTATCACAAATAGTTAAAACTGTTATAGAAATCGTTCCAATCTACTTTATCCCAGCTCCAAATTACAGTTAATTCGTTGATCACTTGTAAAACATGTATATGCATGTCTAATAAAAATAAAATCGTCTCTGGGAGTTAATGCAATCAAATATTTTGATTTCACCCACCTATTGTCTCATTCACAAACTTTATTTCAAAGCCATCTGGGTCTTTTTCAGCCCTGCACCATTTCTCTACCTGTTGATGCGGTGCAACACGGCGGCGTCTGGTTGTCATCTAATGATAAAAAGAAGACAAGAGAAGGTGATGCATGTAAATCATAAGTTGGGTCTGGTCTAAGGACCATTCGCAATTTTCAAGACTATCTTTCCTTGATATTCTTTCTTGCATGTAGGCCTAAGTCAAGTCTATATATCTAGCCCGAGACAGTTATACTGTGGAAGCAGGATTGCTCTGCTAATTCTAACCAGCCAGCTTGCATGCATGGACTTATGACAGACCTTGCAAAGAGTTCAGATGCTCTTTTGATGACCAGAATGAGATCCAAATCCTAACTGGGATTACCTTTAATTTAGTTTGTTACTGTCAACAAAAGGAACATAAAATACATGTACAAGAAGCATTTTACAAGCTTTAATTTGTAAATTAATATTTTGTAATGATTTTGTACATATAAATCTAGGAAATGTTCTTAAATCACATTGTAGTGTCCTCTATTCTTCTTCACAAACTAGTCAATAAAAATGTGTACATGATGTGAATGCAGAAACTTAATGAGGTATGTAATATTGCAATTACTGTCCAAATGAGGATAACTTCATTAACTTAATAGCTCACCTCAACATATTTTCTTTTGGAGAGAAGAAAATGGATAGCTAGTATAGCAGGGATAGAAACATTACGTTCAGAACATGCATACACAGACAAAGAAGATGAAGACAAACATTTAAAGAAAAAGATACGATACGACCATGATAATGTAAAGAAAACAAAGAATGATCAAGAGATGGAGAAAAAAGAAGACAAAGCACTGACAAGACAATCCATGTAGTGGATCATCATTTGCAGAAGAAGAAGCATGCAGGGGCAGAGAAGATGGAGGATGACAGGGATGAAAAGATGGAGGATGACAGGGATGAAAAGATGGAGGGTGACAGGGATGAAAAGATGGAGTAGGGCAAAGACCAATGCTGGGGAGAGTAGAAGAAGGCAGATCAGAGATAGAAAGTTCAAGAAGTGAGGGCAGTGACTGAGTAGACTGATGAAGAGATGGATCGGAAGGTTTTGAACTGCTTGATGTAACTGACGGAATAGAAGACAACGAAGAAGAACGAGAAGGAGGAGGAGGAGGGGGAGGAAGATCATCCATAGTCATTGTTTTAGCTGTGGAAAATAAAGAGGGTGAAAATTTGAAGAAAAAAAAACAATAAAAACCTAAATTTGACTGTTATGATTTAGGGTTGATTCTAAAGTTAAATAAATGCTTAAGACTAGTATTAAGTTAAGCCAAACAAACTCTAAACAACAGAAACTAGACTAGGTTTATAGATCTATCTCAACCTTTTCTAGTGATTGTTAGGTGGGCATCAAATATCGTGCAGTCTTTCGCTTCAATAAGGATCTAGATTCTACTGGTCTATAAGTAATGTTCCTTCTAAGCTCTTACATCTGTAAAAGTTCATTTTTCATCATTGTCAGATTGAAGATAAACACACTGCAGATATCAGAGTGGTGTGCAACGTAGTCAATAATGCTAATGGCGAAAACAGACTTCAATTCAAATGCAGAAATTAATAATAATAATAATAATAATAGTTTGTCCTTATATAGCGCATTTCAGGACCACAGGCTCTCTCAATGTGCTTTACAGATATATATTAATACCCGGGTCACACTTTGTATGCATATTCTCCGCTCCCTGGGGAGCATTCCAGCGAGTCGCCATTTTACAAGCGCCACTTGCTAATCAAACCACATTAACTTTTGCATCCTACTGGGTACTCATTTAACACCTGGGTGGAGAGTGGCAAATGTAGATCAATGTCTTGCCAAAGGACATTAGTGCCGCGGCAGGACTTGAACCGCGGACCTTGTGTTCCACAGCCCGGTGACATATTCACTCGACCAAGACACCTCAAATTAAGGTAGAGGTCTAGCTGGTAAAGATGAAAAATAAAGAGCCTATATCTGAGGTGAGGGAGATTTATTATTACAGGTTTAGATCGATCTAGATCATGTTTATTTTTTTATCTCACTGGATCATTATCAGTTCAATTCATAGTCGGATAGAAATGTGTCTAGTCTAACTTTAACTAACGTACTGGTACGTGCGATGACATTATTGCCTAAGAAAAGTTAGATTCAATCCAATTTAGATATGATTATGAACACCTTTTTTACTTATTTTTCAGTCAGTTTCTCCAATTTATACATTTACAGTGCATATAAAAAAAAGCCGATTATACTCCCATTCAAATCAATTCCAGACTAAGTAGATCTCGACTCAATCTACTTTAGATATGAACACCCTTTTTTACTCATTTTTCAGTCAGTTTCTCCAATTTATACAGTTACAGTGCATATAAACATAAGCCGATTATACTCCCATTCAAATCAATTCCTGACTAAATAGATCTAGATCTAGATCTCGACTCAATCTACTTTAGATATGAACACCCTTTTTTACTCATTTTTCAGTCAGTTTCTCTAATACAGTAACAGTGCATTTTAAAAAAAAAGGCTGATTATACTCCCAATCAAATCAATTGCTCTTTTGCATGCATACAAAAGATAGAAGAAAACCGTGGACGTCCACCTTTCCCGGGCGTCCATGGTTAGAAGGTATGTATTCCTGCAAATGTCCACGTTCGCAAAGAGGCCTACTTAAAATCATATTGCTGATTTTATTTCCCCTCTTCTTTTAATTTGGCGCAAGCCATTTTTGGCACTATGGACAAAAAAGGTCAATGTTAACTCAAGCGAGAAGAAATATTTGTTATTTTAGTGGCATTTTATAGAAAAAAAACTAGGCTTTACTCTATGGCTAGGTCTCGAGCACGTTTAAAAATGCCCTTCCTAGACTATTTTGAAAAGTAATTTTGACAGATTTGTCAAAAGTGTTACGTTTTTTAAAATACGTACTGTATTGTCCCAGATTAAGACCTAGCTCTATACTTTTCTTCCATCAAATATATAATTTTACTTACTTTAATTAAAGATATTTGTTGACCATCCGTTTCGGCATCGCCATCAATCAGCATGCAGCTAGCGACTCGAAATGTTACTTGTAGAAGACGGGCACCGCGCCGTTAAGCCGCGGGGCGCGTCCCGTGCAGCTCAGGCCAGAGTACCCGGAAGTCCGACGTCCCCGTCAAGACCTCGCTAACGCGCGTTATCTGAAATCACAAGGTAAAACAGGGACTCCCCTAAACTGATCCAAAGCTGGCAGCAGACGGAAATGAAATCCGCCGATCGAGTAATTTTGTCCCACCGATCATTAATCCTAGTCGGTCGTAATGATATGCACACCGGTGTATCAGATTTGTTAACGGTTATCGTGGACCTAGCTCCAATCGAGTCTCCTATTTGATATGGTACTTGTTTAGCCGTAAAAATTCATATTAAAGATAAAAGAGAACCGTGGACGTCCACCTTCGCCGGGCGTCCATGGTTAGAAGGTGTGTATTCCTACAAAGGTCCACGTTCGCGGCCATTTACAAACGCACACACACACACACACACACAAAGCAATAAAGAAGGGGGATTTTAACCCATTTTCAACATGAACTTGACTGTCCCTGCTAATGAATCCATCACCATGTCATGAAGTCAAACGAGACTGAAAATAGGTAAGTTCGCAAAGCTATTGTTTTTCGAACAGTTATCCTTCTGTCGATTGGAGCCTTTCGTATTGTGCAAAATCGCATGTGCAGCAAACAGCTACCATGCAAAAAGGCCCGATTTCACTAGAAGGTTTAAATCTAACCCACTGTAGGTTATTTTACCTAGGGTTAAAGATAACCCACTGTTTAAACCACCCCTCCAATGTGAATTGCTAAAAGATAACCCATGGTTAAGCCATGGTCTAAACCGGGTTTAACCATGGGTTAGATTTAAACCTCCTTTGTGAACACAGACCGGGGAGTTAATTTCTTACCTCAAGTAGTTCATCTATCAGCTCGTCTCTGTGCTTTACAACTTCTTTGAGCTGTGGGTTCAAAAAGAGACATTTCAATATCACATTACATGTACCTGCAGATCAATAAAAATCGCTGCTCAGGTAGCTTGGTAAAACGTATCGGCACGAAAAGAAGCTAGACTAGACTAGTAAATTCAATCAACATCCATTGTTACCCTTCACAATGACATACTCAGCCTTGCATCAATTACAATCAATCACCTTGCATGGTAATTATCTTATTAAAGCAGCTAATTTCATCTCGATAGATTATCACTTATTGCATTCATGATCATGAGTGGGTATTCATTAATTTTTATGTGATGCACTTACTTTGATATCCTTGGAGTCTATTTCTATCCTTGCATTTTCCAACTGTATTGTAAATAAAAGAGCAGGCAATAGATAAAGAGGAGGATAGAATATAATATACATGTAATATTTGTTAAAGATAAGCTTGAGTTCTGGTAATGATAGCAAATAAATTCTCACATAATCCAACAAAACTTACACTGAACGTTCAGAATTACAAATAATTGTCATGTGCCAAACGCTTGTAGTAAAAAAATGTATAGAAAGATAAGGAAATCAAGGTATAAGTAGGCCCGACACTATGTGCAAATGAGAGTTGTGGTTTTATTGAAGATGATTTCCAGCAAGCTATTGTGGGGTTGTTTTTATTTTACTGCAAGATAAATAATCCAGAATGAATTATAGCCATGTTCTCTCGACATACGATGCCCATACCAGAGCTCAAGATTAGCTTTAAGGAATGTTGAGGGTATTATTTGCAATCTCATGCCTTGATTCTTTCCTGGTCATCCCTCTCAATTCCATTAAGATTGGCCTTGCATCAAAATGTGTGCAATAAAACAACGCAAACAAGAGAACACATAGGAATGCGTAGTTGCGCAACACCCTAATCTTTTGTAAATGATGAACTGTGCTAAAAAGGCTAGCTGTATTGCATGCTCATACACGTATAAGAAACCACTAAGTACCCCACATGATAGCTTTTCAGCCGATATGACTCTGTATTATACCAGTACCCCCTTTTCCCATTATGTCACAATGCACTTTTGACAATCCTTATGCTGGTTTCAGCTCTCGTTTTCATCAATTGCATAGAGATAAGGATGTAATCCTATACAGTTTACATGTACATTTATTATACCAGGGTCAACTGTAATACAAATACAATACCTCAATTAAGGTAGAATACTTCCAACCATCATTATGCATAAATTGCAATAAAACATAACATGGTCCTGTATCATAAATGTTATCATTCATAAAAAGTTACAATTATTGATATAAACTACTGAAATTATGTTATCTCACTGGCTGCAATTAAATTTGAATAACATTGATGCAGTTATTACAAGTAATTAGACATAGTCGTATAACAGGTTGTACTACTTCAAGAATGATATCTAATTTTAATGAACACCACATTTAAACAAAACTTGATGTGAAAAGCATATCCTACCTCATCTTCAAGTGAAGCCACTGCCCTTCTCAATGAGAGTTTCTCTGTATCCTACAATTAAAGACAAAAGTTAATAAAATTATCAGCTTTATTTCTTTATAATAACAATACACGGCAACGGTGAGTGATTTACATGTAGCTCTGGAAGCTCCAAAATAGTTCTGATTAATAAACTGAAAAAGAACTCTGGTGATATATTAACAGAATATGTCAATATCACTGTGAGAAATTTGCACTTCTACCGCACAAAATCCTGTAACAACTCCCCCGACAAGAAATTTATTTTTTAAATGAATTATTTTGCACTATGACCACAATACCTTGTAACAGGTGAATTCAGTAACTAGGCAGTCTTGCATCAATTTGGAGCAATATGAGAATGGCTGATTGGCTTTGCATTACGTTGCCTGGGTGTATAGACGCAGGTGTTATTTGAAACGCTTTAATTCATCACGATGTGTGAACTCATCAAACTTTCATCTGCGAGACCTCGTCTTTCTTTTCATTCTTTTATTCGACTCGTTTGCCCATGTGATACGAGAGTAACGGAAGCTAGTCATCGTAACCATGGCGCTGAATAAACAGTCGTCTTAAAGTAGATCTACGCAATGTATTGACATGTGGGCTCCATGTAAAGGGAAACTTGTTAATCTGAAATTGCTTATCGGTACTCTAAATGAGCAGAAAGTTGATGTGAAGTTAATCATAAAAAAATGTACATATTAACACATTGAGGAGGTATTTGTTTTCTTTCGGCATTTTTTATTTTATTTGGGAAAAGAAAGCTTTGAAATAGAAGAAATATGTAGGAAGAAGTGGTTTATTATCTTGCTATATATACTAGACTGAGTGTATATATGCACAGCTAATTTACAAAATATTACAAATTCACATGAGTACCTGCAGATCACATTCAAACTACATGTATGGCCTTTCTGTATAAAGGACAATACCAAGTGTTTCAAAATGGCAATTTCAGACAACTTTGAAATTGGAAAAGAGAATATTATATAAATTTTAATAAAAATCTACAAATTTATAATATAATATTTAAGTTAATATGAGACCTACTCCTACAACAGCTGAGTTTCCTATCAACCGTTCATAAAGTGTATACCGGGATAATGACTCCAAGAAAGTCCTTCTACATGTACTTTACATATAAAAGTCAATATTTCATCATACTTGATGGCCGGTTCACAGGAAACTAAAATGTTTTGAAAGTAACTAGTATTTAATAGTTAATATATATTGTATCGTTGATTTGTAAACTTTTGAAGCAAAGTCCATAATATTCTTTATTCAAATTAGAAAATCTCTGGAAATGTCGTTCTATGACGCTTGGAATTGATCTAAAACAGGCTGGTTGTAAGCTCTGAGAATAGATCAAATGTATTTTATACAAAAATGAAATGGTGCAGTCCTTGGATATGATTTCATTTTTATTTATAGACCTCATCTCACAATAATAATAATAATAATAATAATAATAATTTAAAGTCCACTCCAAATTTTATTAAGTTAAACCGAAAATGGAAATTATTTTTGCCCAATTGATCGTGAGCCCGGCAGCCACTGAGCAGCGCCAGATCGACGTTGCTCTATCCCTTATTGTTGAACGCCAATACATGTATCTCTATCATGGAACTTAACAGGTTAGTTGTTACTATAGCAATTCAACTTTTAAACACAAAGTACACCCACCTCACTTTTCAATAGTCGCACAATTTTCCCTAATGACTGCTTTTCTGATTCCTAAAATTGGAAGAAGAAAAATAAAATTTGTTAATATTTCCTTATAAAAGAAAGGGGTACATACATGTACATACAAAATGTAGTGTAGCGTACATGTACATGTACCTGTATATCCATTGTGTAAATTTGATGAAGGCCCTTTATTTCATTTTCCACATTATAAACTATTGCCTACCGGTACATGTACATGTATTTGAGTGGTATTTCCTGTATTTTTTATTTATTATTATTTTTATTGAGGTTTTATTTCCACATTAACTGCATATGGAAATAATTTACAAAGTAACGCATATACATGTACATTGTACAAGGTTACAAAACATATGATAGATAGGTGGTATTAAAACAATAAAAAACAATGTTATGTGAGTAATTAAATACAAAGGATGCTAACTTAATCTACAGTAATGAGGAGGAAACCTTAGACGCATTATACTTGTGAATAAGGTTCTCTTTACATAATACATTTTTTATAAAACAAAAGGATATTAAGTATATGGAAAGGAGAAATGACATGTTAAAGAAGATTAAAGCATAGATGTCTTACCAGTTCAGCTACTTGATTCTGCCAACACAAAGAGTTGTTTTCAAGACATTTGATCTCGTCTCGTAGCTCTCTCATCTGATCTTTAAACACACTTTGTTTCTGTAGGAGGCTAGAATGTAAGAACAACATTTGTTTCTTGTCTTTAAGAAGCCAATGGTATTTAAAAATATTTTCAGACTACAATAAAATCTGCTTCAGTGTCTACCTTTATAGAAAGACCACCTGCATACAGGTATATGTGTGTTTCTTATCAACCCGGGGGGTGTTTCATAAAGAGTTTGTAAAGTTACGCATGACTTTACGAACGACTTGTATATGAAGTGCCAGAGAGGATGCCCAAAGTTTTTTCTGATATTTCCAATAGCCTCAATTAAATTATGGTAAAAAATATACTTTGCATTAAAAATGTTGTTATAATAAGAATGTTAATCTACATCTGCACAGTTCAACTTAGTAAATAATAATCAATAATGATTGAGCATCCCATTTGGCTTTCGTAAAGTCATGCATAACTTTACGAACAGCTTTATGAAACACCCCCCTGTCTGTACCATCTGCCTATAAAGGTCACTTTTTGTGCAGTCTTTCTATACAGTTACTGTTTCTAACATGGCCTGCAGAGAAATATCAAAACTGTTTTCAAGACAAGCAAAGTGTTGTTTTTACTTCTTTTTTTATACCTTCATGGTACCACTCAGTAAGGAAAGGATTTATTTTAGAGCTAAATTGAGCACATATCCCTCTTCAAATTGGCAACAATATATTTGCTTTTATTGCTACATTGTTAAAAAAAATGCCAGGTCTCTGAAAATGATTTATATATGGATATGACTTTCGTTAAAAAGTTGACACAATTGCAATTTTAATCCCCAAACAATGAACATATTGCAAAGCTAAGGATTTAAAAGCTTACTTTCCACTTTTATATTTCTGGCATCAAAAGCCATATAGTCATTAAAAAATATAATGTAGGTGCAGTTTGTGCAGAAATTTATGCCCTTTCTACTCATGCATCTGATATACTTTGTACGGGTCTGAATCAAACAATATTGAGCTAAACCACAAAATGTGAAATGATTGTTGTAAAAGGGATACCGGTAGTGACTTTTTTATCGTCATTCATCTTAAAAATTCATGAATTAACCCCTTTTTGAATTAAATACAAAACTGTTCTTTGTTCATTACACAAAATTGGGTTATTTGGATACCTTTCAAAATCCTACTTCAGAGCAATACAGCAAATAGAAATATAAAACAAAAAAATACGCACTCTCGCAAATCCTATCTTCAGAACAACAGATCTTGAATAAAAAAGAATATATATCATATGTTCCCTTTTAATATTCCAACAAACTAGCATGTACGTACTAGTACTTGTATTGTACCGGTAGATAAAGTAGCTATATACACATCACACCTGTATTCAGCTAGCGCAGCAAGATTTATTTATGAAACATATATATATGGCTTGCTCAACAAATCAAATTAACTACAGAGTATTGATGCAACTCCCAGAGTATTGATGCAACTCCCAAAGAATAGACAATTGAATTACACAGCTTCAACAATCCCAATTAAATCCCTGATGATCGGTCTCAATCAAATTAATCAAGTCAAGTTATTGAAGTGCTATTGAAAGTAGTCTGCAGGCATAGACTCTAATTTGACATTTATCCAACGTAACTTACACTGAATATTCAAGATTACAAATAAATGACAAGTGCCCAACAATTTTGGTAGAAAATGTATAGTGGCTGAGTAATGTGCATATCAAGATTAAGAAATAAAGCTACACCTGTACATGTAAGTAGGCCCTACTTAACACAGGTCACTATGTGCAAATGGGAATTGTAGTTTTTATTAGAGATGATGCCCAGTAAGTTTTTGTGAGTTTGTTTATATTTCACTGGTTCAAACAACAAATTTACTGCAGGATGAATAATCCAGGATGAATAATCCAGAATAAATCATAGCTATTTTCTCTCAAAATATGATTTCCACACCAGAGCTCAAGATTACATGTACCTTTAATAAACACAATGCCATAAATTCTTGAGCAAAGCCTACTCCTTCAAGAAGAGCTGTGAGCGATTTAGCTCACTAAAGCTCCACTAAAAAGAGCTCTGGTTAAAATATCAATTACTTCAATATCACTGAGAAAATTGCACCAAAACAATAAAGAGCTCCCGCAAAGCAAACAGAAAAGTATGTCTCACACTCGCTAGTCTATCAGTCTCGGACTGTGTCAAATATGTTGTTATATTAGGAGGAGCTATTAAGTAAAGAGCCTGCTTAGACAATATATTACACAGCACGACTGATTACTGAAACTGCCACTCAAAACGTGAAATGGGATCATATTTTGTTTTGATGTTTGGTGTAGTAATATTTTACATGTGTATTCATGCATCCGCTGTTATATCAGAAATATTAACAGGTGTATAAACTCAATACATGCATGTACATCAACCTACTGAAATTATATAAAGAAGTTCAATTGAAACCGCAACTTGAAATATGATTATATACATGTGGATGCTAAATAAAGGATGTGACTGTATATATCTTTTTGAAAATCTAAATTAACAAATCAACCTATTTGAAGTAGTTAAAGATAAACTTGAGTTCTGGTAAAATAAAATAAAATTAATTCTCACAGAATCAAACGAAACTTACACTGAATGTTCAAGATTACAAATAAATGACATGTGCCGAACAATTTTGGAAGAAAATGTATACTGGCTGAGTAATGAGCATAGAAAGACAAGGAAATCAAGGTAGTACTAGCCCCGACACCGTGTGTGTTGTCCCATATATAGCTTTCTGTGTACAGTGCTTGTTACTTTACCAAGATTCGGTCAAATTTATTATGATTTTGATGACTCCAGAACCTTGCAGTGCACACCAATACTTACATGCTACATGATCAACTGTTTCTGATCCTTTCCACACCTTTTCTTTCACAATGCAATCACATTACCAGTACTAAAGATTATCTTTAACTGCACATATTATTTGGGTTTAATCAGTGCTGCTTATTAGTAATGAAAGTACAGTAGGTGAATTCTTATGGATGATTTAGACAGTATTGTATTATTACAAAAAGTAATACTTGAAAGTGCAAAGAGATAATTGCCTGTTGTCCGCAATAAGGCCACAAGACCTGCATGAATGTATGGTCAATGGCACAATCCCCTTCTTCCGGGCAGCCAAAATATATTATTGTTCCTTGTGCGATAAATATAACTAGAATACTATTTGATTAAAAATGACTTAATACCTGCTGATAGTTTCCTTTGCTTCTTCTGCTTTATTGAGTAGCTCTGTCCGAGACTCTTCTGTTGTTTCCAGCCGTCTATGTAACGCTTCATTGGTCTCTGTTAGTTTCTGACGTTGACAACGCAGTTCTTCCAACTCTTCAAATATGTTTACCGATTGGTTTCTGTAACAATTGAATATATAAAGTCAAAAACTGTCGGCATTCAGTGTCTCTTATTCTGCCTTTATACAAATGAATTTATTACAAGGGTAGGATTGCCCTTTAAAATTTTTTTATATCTCTACCTATTGCTACAATGAATCACAAATCCACCCTGCTCTACATTTAGATTTGCAGTTTGCTCTAGAAATATCATGCAAACACGATCATGCATTAAGAGCCATTTCAAACTGGATATGGTTTGACTAATGCCTCAGTCACACCTTTGCGTATGATGCTGCGTATTGCTGCGCTGTTCCGGGTATATCAATACGCAGCCGTTCCCAGCGATACGTGGCAAACTTGAAGGTAGCAGTCACACTATTGCGTATCTAGCTCGTAGGTAGCTCGTATGCCTCTCGTACTAAGACTGCCTACGGTTGCCTATGACCACGCTATAGCTCGCTGTTGCTCATAGCAGTACGATTCAATACGCAGTTTGCTCGCCACGTTGCGTATGTAACTGGTTCTTTGCTCGTTTGCTGCTCGCTAGTCGCTCGCACCAGTACGTCTCGTTGCGTCTCACTGCGTGTTCGCTCGCTTTAGCTCGTCTGTTGTTCGTACTGCTGCGTGCCAGCTCGCTCTACAGCGTACCAGCTCGCTTGGGCTGCGACGGCGTATAAATAAAAGTCATTTTGCGGGCTTCTGACGAGTCTACATCTACAAGAAAAATCAATCAAATGAAAAAAAATGGCCCGGGAGCAGAGCTCTGCCTTGCAAAAGATTAAGCTTTTGGTTCAGCTGGAAGAAGCAGAGACGAATTATGTTTATTTATTAACGTTATGTAGCGCAGCGACGGTGGTTGGTGCTAGGTTGGTGCCAGGCAACTAATCGCAGTAAGAGAGAGCGAAAGCGAACGGCGTACGAGCTAGACTCGCAGCGTAGCGAGCGACAATTGCAATAGTTCTTGCTGCTGCGGGTGGTAGGCGAGCAACAGCGCAACAATACGCGCAATCATGCGAACGACAACGAGCTCTTGCGAGGTAAATCGTGCAGGGAACGCAGCTATAGGCAGTGACACGCGCTCCAAAGAAAAGAGGTGCGTATGGTTGCGTATACTTGCGCTAAGCCACTCGCTGTTGCTCGCATTCACTGGTTGCCACTCGTATCCGCTCGTAGGTGATAAGACCTTGCGTTTGCTTGCGATAGTTTAGAAAATTTTAAAACTAGTCTGCGTAATGAGTACGCAGTGAGCACGTTTCATTGCGCTTTATTGGGTATGACTGCCTATGTCTGCGTTCGGGCAATACGCAGCAATACGCAAGCCCAATACGCAAAGGTGTGACTGAGGCATAAGCACCGGGCCCAATGTTTGCACCAAACACATTGCCAGCTTTATGTACATGTACATGTAATCCCCCCCCCCCCCACACACAATACATGAAGGTCATTTTCATAATGTAGCCAAATTATGCACATCCTTTGTGAAGCACCTTAATAAAAATTCTTTCATTCACCTGTTACCAATAAATGTATGTCAATAGTCAGAATTCAAATTGCATACATTAGTTGTTGCTAGGAAAGGCAAACGTAATGGCTTGCCCTACCTAACAACATGTAATATTCTGACTATTGAAATGCAATTATTTTGTAACAGGTGAATGATATCATTTGTTTTGAGGCACTTGTACAGGTGTAAATTTGGTAACAGTGCCAAAATTGCCTAGATTGAAAGGCTTTTGAACAGAATAGTTGGCATCAGTGGAAATAGGAATAATGGAGAAATAAATTATAACAAATAAAAGGGTTTGTCAAGCTCATGGTATCTAATATTTGTATTCCAAGCATAAGAGGCTTCAATTTCACAACCCCCCCCCCAAAAAAAAAAAAAAAATAAATAAAAAATCAACAACAAAAATAGTCCACTATATAAATGCCAACTTCCTAATCGAAAACACATTCAAATCCCTCCACTTTCTGCCTTTCAACTTTTTCAAAAGAACGATTGGTGAGACATAATTTTAGTGCTTCAATCTGCCAGATGGCAAAAGATTTTCAAATTTGGGGGAATGCATAAACACATATCTTGTAAAATTGTCAGAGTCACAGTATACACCAAAGATTGAGTCATTTGTGAAGGGGTATATATCAACAATCAACCAAGGACATTTATATAGAATAGTAGTAATCAAATATACCATGCACTGAGAGGCTCAAGTTGAAATTATGGATCAAAGAATCCATAATGTCACTAGTGGCTTGAATAGTGCATGATATATTTCCTTTATATTTTTCAAACCAACCTTCATAAAAATAATAATAATAATAATTTCTGTCACCAAGGAATCCAACCTTCATAAAAATGATGTTTTCACTTACCATAAATGTCACTCTAATTTTTTAATCGAGAGCAGCGCAGATGACCGGGCCGATACTGATCACATTGATCTTGATCGATCGCATATCTATGACGTCATCTATGGTATAGTGCACTATACCATAGATGACGTCACATATAGCACATTTTTCTTATCGGTAGCATAATAGCAATGTTATGTTTGGTCACATGATGCTACGTTGACCAATCACTGAACAGGCTTTCATTGATCAAAAATATGAATACAAATACTCACATTTCATCCCCTCCATAAGCTTCCAAGCTTCCATAGCTGAATGTTGACAGGTTGGGATTTTGTTCTTGAGAAGAAATTTACAGAAAATTGTCAATTTTTTCAAAAATTTAAAACAAGCACAATACGAAGTTCAATGACCACTGAATAGAACTGTTATCATACAATACTTATATCCAACATTATAATTCAATGGGAATGAAATATGTGTATTTAAACTTATCCAAAATGATACTTGATATTTAGCCAACAATCTATCTAGTTTGAAGTATTATCCAATTCCAATTCAACTTCCAGACAAAATATACCACTAATTCTGGCACTATATCACATTCAAGCATACCTATGCAACAGGAACAAAATTAATAGCAATTTAAACACCCATTTAGGTTCATCATGACTATTAAAATTAGATTTCCAGGCCATTGCATCCTGATGAATGTCACATGCGAGTCAATTTCACAGTCCATTCAAACATCTTCCGATACAATAGAGCATTCTACTACACTTCACTTGACTGTATGGCAGGCAATTAAAGTTGGTATTTTGACCTTGCCATTTCATCACCTTTAAGAGGTATTACATCTACATCTCTTTGGACTTAGGAAGTACTACTTATGAAGTAGGAACGATAAATATAATATTGATCAGCTTCATATACATTAAGTATGCACATATTTACAAGAATACCACCATCCATATGGGTCACTCCATTGCAGCTCACCACACACACACACACACACACACACACACACATCCTGACCAGTATGTAAACTCATAAAATAGGTATATTATATAACTGATGGAAAAGTACATGTACATGCATGTTATAAAGGATGTTTTGAAAGTTGAAAGTTGCAATATTTTAATCTTCTTCTTTTTACCCCCAAAAATTCATAATTTCTTGGTACATATTTTAATTTATTGATTTTCTAAGTATACTATGTTTTCAAGATACATGTACATGTATATTGTAAAACAGCATCTGAGGAACTAATACTTCAACAAGCTCTGCTTCTAGTTGGTTCCTCTTTTCTTGACCTTTTACCAGTGAAAAAAATACACGGGGGCTCAGGGCGCATAGCCCCCGAAATGCCCAAAAGAGCCCCCTTAAATTCGCATAGAGTTCAATGCAAAACAAATTTTAGAATGTTATTTTCATGCAGGCAAGGTTGAAAAGTAGCCCCCCCAATTTTTTTTTTTTTTCCTGACTATAACTATTATATTTGTCGCTTCATTGTATATTTTGGGTAATATACTTATTCATTGTACTATGTTTTGCATGAGAAATAAAATGTCAATTGAATCAAGAACTTAGGTTAATTCTCTGATGGAAAATGAGAATTTGTTCCACGTTTTCAAAGCAGCTATTGTAAAACGTTATTTTCAGGAGAGGAGAGTCTGGATTTGGTACCAGTATTCAACTTAATTATAAAATAGAACATTAGTTTAAAGTTATAATGACAGAGCTGCCAACCTTGTGCAACCAAAAAAAGGAACCATGATGGCAAAAAAAAAGGAATTTCAAGCAACACACTTTGAATGCAGAAATTTCAATTCCTCATGCTATTATTTCCATATTAGGACCTACAGTTTATTTACACGTATTGTAGGTACCGGTAGTTGTTTTTTGTTTTTTTGTATTATCAGCGTTTCTTTATTTTTGAGAATATTTACACCTTTCACTTCTTTTTTTTCTTGCTTTTTCGCTTACTATTTTGAAATACGTACTCTTCAGTAAAAAAAAAAAAAAAGTATTACAAAAAATAACCCATATTTTATAAAGAATTAAAGTACTACCGTAATTTGGAGGGAAAAAAAGGAATAATTCCAGCAAAAGCGTAATGGTTGGCAGGTCTGCAATGAATAAAAAATCAAGAGAACTACAAATGTAGCTATTACAGGTCTCAAAGGCTACATTTATGTAAATGTATTGAGTTTCTGGCTTTACTTACCTTCATATGAAGACAGTGCCCTGCTGTACCAGACTGGCTTAATGCTGTCACTAGTACAGTCATGCCTAGAGAATTAATAGCATTCATAGAATATTCACATTAGGCCTGTCCTCATCAGCTCAAGATTGCCAAATAGCCCGCTATTTCTTATTTGGGAAATAATCCCAAAGTTACAAATCGCGTCTTCATCAGCTCGAGACTTGACCTCGAAACTTAAAACTCGAGCTCGAGAAATTAGCTTGAGATATTTTACTCAGCATTCATGCATAGTGCGAGTCTTCAGGCTGGTGAAGTCGCACCGGAAAAATAGCGGGATATTTGCAAACTAGCCCAAAATATCTGAGAAAAATACTTCCAATGACAAAACATAACAGTTTAAAGGAAAATGAAATCCAACAAACTATAGTTAATAGCCTTATCATATAATTTCGGCCAGTTACACATATATTGAAACTACCCCTACATGTACATGTATTTGATTACTGAGCAAGGAAAACTATCTCTCACAATTTTGCAGTTTCTTTGCTAGCCATTCTTCCATAGGTGCTTTCATTTTGATGATTAAAAATAGAAATGTCAGAGTAGTACAATGTACATATCAATTGACCTCTGATATCTTAGAATGGGTGATTTCTTTTAAGGAAACCTAACCCCAAGAAATCACTTTATTGCTTAACAAAAGAAACTGTTCAAAGTTTTAAAACAGCTGAACCACATAGTGTGTTACTTTAAGTTATGAGAGAACATCCATTCCTTTGAATGCATATTACAAAAAAAAGTCTAAGGGTCTATTAGGCCTTTAAAAAAATAGGTTGTATTGCTCTTTAGGTGCTAATACATGGGTCGGTCGGTCAGAAAAAAATAATAACTTTTTTTTCTCCCTCTTTGGGCTGACATTTCTCAGTTTTTAATATATTTTTCAGTTGTAAATGCTTAATTTTTTTTTTCTCTAGGTCGGTCGCAAAGGGCAATACAACATTTTTTTTTAAAGGCCTTATTAGGAAACCACTGTCATGCATTTTACAGGTGAGCATCCTGCATTGAAACTAAAATACATTTCAGTGGGTATCTCACAAGTTGTACTACTCTGACATCGCTATTGTAATCAAAATGGCTAATCCCATAGGAGAATGGCTGGCAAGGAAACTCCACAATTTGGAGAGATTGTTTTCCTTGCTAAGAAATCAAATAGGAGTTATTTCAAGATATTTTTAACTGGCTCATAAATTCTAATAAGGCAATAGGCTACAGTTTCTTGGATTTCATTTTTGTTCAAGTATACGTTTTATCATGTTCAACTCGCACACCTTTACAATCTTTTTCAAGCTCTACCCTGTTTTGGCTATTTACTACAGGTAAACAGGAAATATGCATTGGGTTTTAAACAAGAAAAAAAAACATTTGTTGATCAATCGTAGGAAGCTTAGCATAATGTACTAGCACTTTAACGTTGAACGGTGAATACAAACTTGGTATGTTACATATATATCTCGGGGTAAATAAAGTCAAAATAAGGTAGTCTAGATAATAGTCCCATGTACTAGAAAATAAGCTTCTATCACAATGTCATGAAACTATAATTTTCAAAAATAATGCATTTTGCGTTCTGGACGGATCTTTTTGATTAGTTAAAAAACGGAAAGGGGGATTCTTATGAAAATGACCTTTTAATAATCATAATCATAATAATAAAGAATCAATTCCATCAGAAATGTTTTCAGCAAAATGAGCTTTTAATCATAATCATAATAATAAAGAATAAAGTCACCTTTGATTCTCATGATCTGCTTTCTGTGGACTTGGTGTTACACCATCATACTCCTCTTTAGGATATGTGTAGGCTGCCATACCATTGGATGCTACACACATCTACAGGGGTGCAGCCTGGAGGTAATAATCATAATAATAATAATAATAACAATAAAACTAATGATAATAAAGATTAATTGTTTTTGTATAGCGCATACATACATGCATGAAGTACTGGTAAGCATAATTGCATGCCTCTATGCACTTTACAGAACCGAATATAGAAGGAGTGGAAATGGTGCACTGGGTTCATAATTGTGAGATTTTACAAAGTGCTATTTGCAATAAATATTTGCAATAAATTGTTGTATGTTTTTATAGTATTCTGGCAAGTTATTCCATAAAACAGTGGCTGCATAATTATGTAGTTTGTAGGACATAAAATAAAGACTTACTGCTAGAGCGCAGAGTTCTTACTATTTATACTGCATACTATGATTGGAGCAAACTGATGGAAACATTGATAAGAATAATAATCAAAGTACTTTAAACTGGATACGGGACTGGATGGGAAGCCAACGTAAATTCTTATGAAAGATGTTGATTCATGTTTCTGGAAAAACATAAATTACAGAAATTCAAACCATAGAGAGATATCATTCATAGGTGTGGTTTAAATACTTGACTATTCAAGATATGAATGTTGTGGGTCTGATCCCCAGCTTAAAGATAAGCTTGAGTTCTGGTAACGATAGAAAATAAATTCTCACAGAATCCAACAAAACTTACTGTTACACGTACTGAATGTTCAAGATTAGGAATAAATGATATGTGCCACACAATTTGGGTAGGAATGGTAAAGTGGCTGAGTAATGAGCATAGAAAAATAAGGAAATCCGGATAAGTAGGCCCGACACCTGTGTCTATTACACAGGTCACTATACAGTATATGTGCAAATGGGATTTCTGGTATTTATTGTAGATGATGCCCAGTAAGTTTTTGTGTGTTTGATTTTAATTCACTGGTTAAAATAAACTACTTCAGGATAAACATTCCAGAACAAATCATAGCAATTTTTTCTGAAAATATGATTCCCTTACCAGAGCTCAAGATTAGCTTTCATACATCACAAGTAGTACATTTCCTTCTTTTAAGAATTTGTTTTGCATTATCTGTTGAAATTAGAATCTATTAAATTCAAAGCAGTATTAATATATAGTATTTTTAAAGCGCCAACTCCACATGACTAATGTGTTCGAGGCGCATGGAGAAGAAAAACTATAAGTACACAAAAAATACACACAAAAATGAACGACGACAATGTGAAAGTTATAAAGCTTAAAACTAGCTAACAAGAACCAAAACAGAGTTGCTCAGTCTAACAATAGCAATTTACACTCACACAAATTACTTGCCTTGGAAGCACCGACCACAGATCATCAAATTATCCCATACCCAAACAATTAATGCTAAACTGCATATGGTCACAGGCTAATGGTGCCAGAGCAAAACAATGAATAAATATCAAAGGTTATGGGACTATTTAATTAGGTTGCCAAAGCTTATACTATGATGGATGGGAACTCCCTGGTATTGTACATTGGGCATTGATGAGAAATGTGTCAGCTGTGAATACGCACAGAAGTAGATCATACGCAGCTCAGTAAATTACACAGTGTTGCTATAATCAACAATAAGCCTGCTACAGCTGTATATTTTATACACTGAACAAGATTGCCAGGTACTCATGATATGCAAGGTCATACGTTGAAGGGAATTGATGAAAATTATGAATGTTTTGTTATAAAAACAGGTACTGTACGTCAAATGAATAAAACCATCAAATTTTTCATGATTGAAATTCAGATAATGAGTTTATTTTGGAAACAAGGGCAGGTAAAATACATCATGCATTCTTTTTAATCTATTTCACGGATGGCCTAAAATAACATTTTTTAATTAAACACACTGGTGAATGAGCAGTAGTCTCAACAAAAAACATAATCTGTATTCCATGAATTATGGTACTTTTTCCCCCTATGTTCTAATTGTTATTGTCTCTCGTTGTCTCTGTCTCTCTCCCCCTCCCTCTCTCTTTCTATCTTCTCATCTCTCTTTCTCTTTCCCTCTTTCCCTTGCTCTCTCGTTCTTTCACTCAATCTACCTCTGATGATTTGTTTTATGATAAGGAGCTGGTGATTTGACTTTTTAAAAATCCCTTATAATTTCTGATATTTAAAATACTAAGTGTGATTGTTATTAGAGTTATTTACACGTTTGTATTCTCGTTATTAAGAGTTATTTACATATTTGTATTCTTGTTATTTTAATTTGTATTATGTTTTTTAACAGACTTGCTGAAAAACAGCCTTATGGCAAATAGCAGGTGTTTTTAACCGTGGTTAAATAAATAAAACAAACAAGCATATACATGTAAACAGGGAATAATTTTCCTGGTATCGCATCGCAATTTGCTATGCATTTTTGCATGACTGCTATACAAAATATCTTTTGTGTAGCAGTTTTCTTCCATAGAAATGTACAGAATTTCATTTGAAATATTTATCCATCGGCTGAAATTGCTAATCAAAAAATTTGAGGAAAATTATTCCCTGGTAAATAAGGGAAGTTAAGAATATTTTCAGCAAAAACAAGTGCATTAGCTGCCACTAGGCATGTACATTTATTTATTACCAAATCTAGTAATCAAATGTGTGGAATATGTACTGTGTCTATCATCAAGAGGAAATAGAAACTGAACATTGTCTTGTGAAGTTGAGTTAAAAAGGAAATTAATTCTGTCCCTTTGTTACATGTACATGCATATTGCATAATGAAGTGTAGTAGATAACATAGTGTTTTTTCTTTCTTTCTTTCTAAAATCAAGACAACAACATTGCAGACCTATATGTACATGTGTACAGTACATGTATACTGTAGAATTAGGGAAAAACCTAGAAGACCTGTTAAAAATGAATTATTCAATGTTTGTCTGTTGATCAGCTACATGTACATGTACATATTGGACCCTTTCAATGCATAAAGATTAAAGAAAACAATTACATTCAGAATTATTTATGAACTGCCACCACTAATTTAACACACCAATGAATTTTTACATTGCCTCTGAATACTTTCCATTGGTGCAGTAACAAGAACAATGGAACAGAACACTAGACGATGAACCGGGGCAGAATGTGTGTCAAAAGTTCACATCCTTTTCCAGATGCTCTGTAAGCACTCATGCTCCAAGACTGAGACATGAACAAACTACATCCCTGGATGAGCTCAGTAAGCTTTGTGTTGCCATGGCACCTGAGCCAACCAATGCTACAGTCCATTATACCACATACTATGTTCATAATACTTCAGCAAACATTCTGTTGAGAGTTCTATTGAGATGTGGATGGCAGGTGGCTTCTATGAGGACCCACACAGGGATAGATCTAAACACTGTATCGTGTATGTATGTATGAAAGAAGACACCCTTGGCAGGGGGGATTTTTCCCTCCCCAGTATATTATTAGAATACTGCTAGAATGATGTGAATAAAACAGAATGATATTAGGGTTAGTCAACAAACACATGTATAGTTTTGGGAGACAACCACCCCCTTCTCTCTTCCATTTTTCTAATGAAATCTACTGTATCAACAGAACCCCACCCCCCCCCCTCCCCCTCCCCCCCCCTCCCCCATTCTCTCTCTTTTTGTGCTGTCTCTCTGTCCGTAGATCTGTCTGCCTGTCTGTCTGTCTCTCCCTCATTTTCTTTTCTCTGATTATGTCTCCCTGTCTGTCTTTCTTCTCTTTCTTTCTTAATTAACTTTCTTTATTTCTTTCTCTCTCTCTCTCTCTCTCTCTCTCTCTCTCTCTTCTCTCTCTCTCTCTCTCTCTCTCTCTCTCTCTCTCTCTCCTTTTCTGTTCTGTCTCCTCGTCTATCAGTGCGCCTCTCTCTCTCTCTCTCAAATGAACATATTTCTGATAGACACATACCTCCTCAGTTCGTTGCGTTAAAAACAAATTCCAGATTACTACTCAATCAAAATGACAAGAGAATTGATGAATAACCATATCAAGGACATTTCAACAAGTGACAAACTGGCACCAGAATAGCTGTCCTTTTCAAGTACACACTTGAAGCTCAAGCTCATCAATCCCCCCCCCCCCCCCTCTCTCTCTCTCTCTCTCTCTCTCTCTCTCCTCTCTCTTACTCTTTCTCTCTCTCTCCACAAAACTCCCTGCATTATCTTGATGCGTCCAGTTCCATTACATCTTCCTTCCATCCCCCTTCATTTGTTATGAACTATTTCTTATCACGTTTATATGTGTATTCAACTCATTCTCTTGCTTGATTGTCTATTCATTATTGATTATTTTTTCGGTCTCTTTTTCTCACTTCATCTCTCTCCCTCTCTATATCTCTCTCCTCATCTCTCTCTTCATCTCTCTCTCTCTCTCCCTCACGCTTTTCTCCCAATTTTTGCCTTTCTGTCCCCCCCCCCCCCTCCTCCCAACTACCAATTGCTCTCTATAGATCTCTCTCTCTCTCTCTCTCTTTCTCTCTCTCTCTCTCTTTCTCTCTCTCTATTTCAGGTTCTCTCACAGGACTCCTTCCCAGTGAACTATGAACCCCAAACCATTCCCAGCAAGCAAGATGCTAGACCGACATAGCAGCAACTACTCTATGCAGCCTAAACTCTGACTTTTCTCCCAACAAATAAATGCATTAGTTCATCAGCAGGATTTGGGGTGTAGGCATCCATTTTTACACAACATACAGTCATATTTAACTGGATTATTGATCTGCATGAATTATGTGTACTTTAGATCCTTATGCACAGTCATCACAGAGCAATCAATCAAACACAATACTGCGAGCTGGGTAAATAGATGAGACAGGTGCAAATAACGAGCATACAGAATTCAGGTACTTGAGACAAGGAATAATTCTTGTTCATAATCCACTTCTTTGACAGTCAAAAAAACAAAATAACATGCCGGCTCAGAGGTCGGCGAAGGCTTTGAGATTTTTTAGTGTAGTTGTGTTTTGTTTTTTAAAGACCAAAACTATTAATGACCTATACAGTGTACTTGGTATTTGACTATTTAGTATTTATAATATACCGTTTGGCACTTTTTGTTATTAAATACAGGGCTCAACACGGTCCAACACCCGGGACACATGGGCACCTAAAGGCTTAGTTCAGACCCCAACATTTTGATTTTTTTTAGATAGAGTGTGCCTTCAGACTTCAAAAATCTGTATCTGTACACCCCTCCAAAAAGAAGGCAGTGTGGATCCCTGAGTAGGAACTACAAATGTTGGTGCCACGACAAACTGAAATTTGAACAAGTTCAAGTACAGGACAACAAATTATCTATCTATTTCAAGTCAGTTTTTATATCATTTTATACAAAAATCTTTTCAATGGAGTTCTTTACATTTTTATTCAGATTTTCAAAAATCACATCAATGCTTGTTTACATTCAAAGGTACAAAATGGGAAATTTGTATACAAAAAGTTGGTTTCAAAACTTTTTTTTTTTAAGTCCGATATTCTAAACTGGAAGCATAATATTAGTAGATTATACAGTATATCTAGTAGACCTAAATCATCTACAAGTACTGTATGACTATGACTTTATGAGCAGAAATGTTTGTTCTTTCAAATATAAATTCATATTTTTTAGGGATCTGTAATTTGAATTGTAATTCATTGATTGAAACCATAAATGTGGGCAATCGTTATGAAAGGGCTAAAGTTTTGTTTAAAGAGTTTCAATCTAGAGTAGATAGTAAAACACTATGCACAATGGGTACCTCACATTTAATTAGTAGATAATTGATTAGACCATTTATTTTGACAACTCTAGACTGTACAAAGAAATATATTGAAGTCTGTAAGATCAAATTGGGAAAAAATGATCTATCATTAACTGTTACATCTAGTAGTAGAGTAGTCTAACGTTAGTCATCAACAAGTTTTACTATATTAACATGCTCAAAGTCAACGACTGTCCGCACAACACTGGTGTGCTCAGTCTTGTCTCAAAATGTACAACCAAAATAGACTACAACATTAATATTACTTTTACTTTAATAAGGAGAAGCCAAAAGATTTTTTTTTCAATGAGAGGAAGAAAACATAGTTTAGTAGGCTCTAATCTACCATTACCATGATTTTGAAGTCATGACAACCACCCCTGAAAATTGCAATGGCCAAGGCAATGGCAATGCAATGATTGATTTATGATGGCAACATGATCGATTCAAGACACCAAAATTCATTAAACTTTCAAGCAACATTTAACATTGTTAGCAGTGCCAAATGTTTAGATCTACATGATAATGCGCGCTAAGTCTAAGACTAGAAAGAGTAAGACCCAGTCCGACTTCTTTTAAATTTAATCCAGGCTCCCCATTCCATCACCAGGCGAAGCTCCATGCCAACACCGCTGCCTGTGCTGCCCGGACCCCGGGCGCTGATACATCGTAGCTTCCGTACACTCCGATCCCACTGGTTCTGCTGCTCTGGAGGTTGACAAACTAACACTAAACAAACAGCGTAAACTGAGGTTTGGCACGTGTATTATGCTCAATTTATGTCAATATGAGACATACACAAAACAAAAAACATGAAGAAGACATTTTTAATTCATCAAAACAGATTTCATATCCTTACCAATGCAAATTCAGATACCAAACAGAATCAGAACGGGTGGCATCCATCCAGCACAAAATAGTCCGATATCATATTGCGATCGTGTGTTGCAAATCGAAACTACTAGTGCAGAGTAGTGCAGTGCAGTATCTCCAAATTAAATTTCGAGCCAAATTTACACATGTTCGTCGCGTCGCGCTCGTCACACTCAAGATAAGATAATTATTACTCTTAAGGCCTACTGCACTACCGTGCTACTTGCACCCTCTATACAACAATCAATGCCTAATCGGTGACCATTGGTCCCCCACGATCCTCTTTTTCTTATGTTAACTGAGAGCTGAGTTGATGAGATAACCACCTGTCCAGTGACCTTGTAGGGCGGTCTAATCCCTCCTGTAAACTATAGATAAGCTTTACAAAAATTGATGTCTTGGAAGGAGGGCAGGGGGCGGGGGGGGGGGGGGGGGGGGGGACTCAATGGGGCACTTGCCTCTCCAGGCGCGGATCCAGGATTTCTTAAGGGGGGGCCCAAATTTGAAGTCATTTGAAATTAAGTGTGCTGAAAAAGGGTGGCGTCGGAGCACTAATTTTGTTTTGCTCCCGAGAAATTTAAAAATCGCGCCGGCCGATAATTCGCTCAGTTGGGTGGGGGTAGGGGGGGGGGGGGGGGGGGGGGGGGGGGGTAATGTGAGCACTAATTTTTTTTTTTCAGTTGGCCCTCGAATTTGAAAAATCGTACCCCGGCCCACCCCCTTGAGGGCCAGGGGGGTCCATCTGCAAAAAAAGGGTAAAATTAACGTTTTTCCCAGGCACCCCCCCCCCCCCCCCCCCGTATCCGCCACATGTGCCTCCCATCCATATGGCAATAATATGGTTACAAGCACTTTGCACTCATACTTCCTTTTCAATTATTTCCACAACTTACTGCAAATTAATTTACAAAGACTGATTTTACGAGCATGGACAAAACAAAAAATCTGGAGAATTCAGTTTTGAATAAGAAACAAAAAATACGGGCGCAAGTGCCCCCCCCCCCCTTGTGGAAATAAGGGGGAAAGAGGGGTATGAGATAGAGCGACCCCGGAGAGCGACATGCAGATGAAAATTGGTAAAAGAGAAGGAGCTTATTTTTTTTAAAGAATCGCTACCGTGTTGTGACCAAGGCTGATCCAGGGGGCCGGTGGGGGGGGGGGGGGGGGGGGGGTTAAGGAGTACTATTTTTTTTTTGGCCGATAATTCGCTAAGTGGGGGAAGCCGAGGTATATAGTGTGCACTTATTTTGTTTTGGCCCTCGAAAATTTGAAGAACTGCAAATTAATTTACAAAGACTGATTTTACGAGCATGGACAAAACAAAAAATCTGGAGAATTCAGTTTTGAATAAGAAACAAAACATACGGGTGCAAGTGCCCCCCCCCTCCTCCTTGAGCACCATGCAGGGGAGGGGGCCCGTCTCCAAATAAAGGTAAAATTAACGTGTTTATCTGTTTTTCTTTTTTTTCAGGGGAGGGTTAGGGTTTTTCCGACTCTCCAACGTATTTGGGCGGAGGACTCCTTTTCCCAGGGCCTTTGAACATTTTTTCCCCTTGAATCATCGATTTGCGATTTTTTTTTGTTGTTTTGTTAATAACTCATTTCCTTAGCTCTCTATTAGCTCTCGTAAACATGAATGGACTTTGTGCATGGATCTTCTGACAGGTCTTCTTTATTTATTGAAGTAAATATATAGCTCTTCAAAGAGTTTCCACTTTTGAATGCCGGTTAGAGCACTTCATTTCATTTCATTTCATTTTTATTTTTTCATTTCCAACAAAATACAATACATAATAACGAATACAATGTAAAATGTATACAAAACATAGTTACATTGGTAATAAACAAATCTTGATAATAATTTATACATTTAAGGAAGACAAAAAATGAATTTTAAAATTTAACTGCATTTATATTTTGAGGAAATGGAGAGGTCCACTGAAAAGCAAAGCTTGTCAATTGTGGAGCCCTCAGATAATAATGAGTGTGAAAAAAATATGGAATACATAATCAATGAAAGAATAGTGGCCAACAGAGAACATTTATTAAAACACGTAATGACTGTAAACAAGAAGACGTAACAAATTACATGACGAAGAAAGAACAGAAAAAAGAAGAAGGAAAAAAAAGGGGGGAAAAGGGGTAAAATGCGGGCTGCGTTTGGAGGGAAGGAGAGGAGAGAAAAGGAAAGTAAGTTGTAGAGATCGAGCACGAAATAGGGAGCGCACAAAATCCTTGAGATATAGCTGAAACAAAAAGAGCAAGAACATGATGGCAAGTAGTTTTATGTTTTGAGATGGGCTGAAGAAAAGAGGGAAAGAAAACAAAATTGGGAAGGAGATGTTCTATCACAATAAATTTCTAAATTAAAACTTCATGCAGAGTCAACATTTCGTTGTTCCTATTTTTCTCAAAATGCCCCAGAGTTCAGGATTGCCGCCTTTGCTGACATTCCTTAGCGTTTTTTTTTAAATTTTGTTTACAAAGAATTACATGATTTCCATGTCCAGTCGCTATCACTCAATAATACGCAAGTGTGTCTCTGACTAAGTACTGCTCAACAGATTGCTTAACCCTAACAACACAGAGACAACTTCCCCAAATGCCTCCCTTGATTTTTTTTTTTTGAGTTATGACATATTAAATTCTCTGTTTATTTTTTATTTTTTTTACTAAAGCTAAAAACATTTAAGAATTGATCCTTGAACTCTCAACAGAGTAGATTTAGAACTTTTAACAGAGTAATATAATTATTTTTTGCATAAAAATGAATCAAATTTCAAGATTTCTGTTTAGCCTACTCCAACCAACATGTTGAATAACTAAAGATGTATGTCTTTTTGGTCTTTTCTTCCTATAGATTAAAACAATCATTGTCATATAATGAAGAGAATTAGGGAATTGACAGAATAAATGAAATTACGTTTCCTGTGCTTGGGAAATGAAAACGTCAAAAGGAGACATCCCTCACTTTCTTAATTTCTAAGACTTATTTTTACGGATTCATTTTAAAGTCTAGCGTTTCAAACCGGGGACACAATTTTTGGATTTATAACGATACTATCATAATTTTTAAGACTCAGAATTTTAAATCCCTAAAAAAATTCTTAAAATTCAAGTCTCATGGATTTAAATTTTAAATTCAATATTTACTTTTTGATGCGCACGCATGCATGACGTCATCTACCAACAATCTGATTGGCGAGAAGTTTTTAGTCCTCAACTATAGTATTTGCAGAAGTCAATTCTGTAACTTTATTTGAACGTATATTAATTTAAACTTGTTATTTTAAAGATTTAAAATGTTTGTCTTCTGAAGGATTTAAAACTTACCTCCCTAAAATTAAGAAAGCATAATATTTGATAACGGCTGCATATAGTAAAATGGACAGGTTGGCTTATGAGGAAGGTATATATTGGAGGGGAAATACAAACAAATATAATTATTAGCCGATTATAATTTTTTTTTTAAACATAAAGGTTACGTCATGTAATCATCAATAATTATTTTTTTCCAAGGCCAAAGAAATAGATACATGGACCTTTTAAAATCATTGTTGAAATAGACCGAATAGGCATAATACGAAATAAATGATTTTTTCATGTCATTACAAATTCATAACTTTCTTCTTTTTTTGATTGGTCATTGTCTGATTATTCTGCTTTTATTGAAAGTAAGTGGACTTGCCCTTTTTAATTCTTAGGAAGCCGAGGCATACTACAGTGCGTCCCAGAAAAAACGAAACCGAGAACTATCGATGTTTTATCATAACTTAATCACAATTATAATTAATAAATGACACATATTTGGAAAGCTTAGATCCTCCTCTTTCATTTGATGCAACTCTAATTATGATGCATACTTCACACATGAGTGATTAAAAGCAATTTGAAGAGAGGAAACCAAAAAGTCATTTGGCGGGCGGTATCTGAATTTTTGGTTTCCTCTCTTAAAATTGCTTTTAATCACTCATGCGCAAAATATCCATCATATGAGTTGCATCAAATGAAAGAGGGGGGGGGGTCTAAGCTTTCCAAATATGTGTCAATTATTAATTATAATTGTGATTGAAGTTATGACAAAACAGTAGTTCTCGGTTTCGTTTTTCTGGGACGCACTGTATATCCCTCTTCCTCCTGTCTGTATATTTGTGTCTTTCCGTCTGTCCCCTCTCTTTGTCTCTCTGAATGGCTCTATCCACCCCCTTGCCCCTACTCCTCCTCTCTCATCCCCTTCTCCTTCTCTCTCCCTCTCTCTTCCCCCTCTCTCTTAAAACAAAAATCTATTTACGGCTTTCTTTACATTGTTCTCTATGCCTCAAGTTGTGTGCAGTAAATCGAATGAGGGCGCTATGCTATTGGATACTTACTCTCTGTTCTAAACATAGAGATATATATTAAGTATATATCTCTATGGTTCTAAACCATCGCAGGCATGTCAGACCATTTCTTGGCCTTTTTTTTGGGGGGGGGGGGGGATTCATCGCTTAACAACAACCTAATTTCATGTCTTTTCCGAGTCATTGTTTGATTTTTATTCGCCAAGCTTCCAACATACAACAATATAGAAGAATAACAGATAAAACAGGATAACCCACGAAAGCTCGAGAGCTTATTTCCAGTGAGGTCCCGACAGACATTACACAATTGATAAAATATTTACAGGCCGATAAGAAACAAAATTTCAGACGAGAATTTGTTTTTTTTACACTCAACTGATTCTTCTAAAGATGAAAATGAAATTGCGCTAGCTCTTGATTATTGTGTGTCACTTTTAATTCAAATAACTTTTAAGAACTACTTTTGGAACAAAACAAATGCTTTCTGTTTTTTCTCAAGTGTAAAGAAAGCTTATTATCAGTCATCCCATCGAAAAACCTAGATAGCTAAGCTGCTCACTGAGCTTTTCCTCAAGACATGTTGGATTAGGATTTGAAAAGAGTAGTACGCTGCCATCTCATTTGTGCGTACAATGATAGTTTAAAGGCTTTTACATTATCATTGATATAACTTGTAAATAGAATTTGGCCTGCTTCCCTGAGGAACACGTAACGCATGTTATCGGCATTAGTTTGGAACGAATATCATGAGTGGCCACTACTAGGTGTCGATTAGACAAGTAGGATCTGAACCACTCTAAAACTAAAGCCCACTATAGTTCTAACTTCTTCAATAAGACGCAATGATTAACTGTATCAAAAGCTTTTTGCAGATCAAGGAGCACCATATCAACAAAGCGCCCTTTGGAAGTTTCTCTCCTCAAATAATCAGTCAAATGAATTAGACATGTTTCAGTCGAATAGTCATGTCGAAACCCAGATTGAATTTCATAAATTATTTCATTTTCTCTGAAGTATTTTTTTATTTGAACACCGAGACCGATTTTCTAGAATCTTTGATGCTACGCTTAAAACACTAATAGGTCTAGTTTCTAACATCAGTGTTATCTTTCTTTTTATAAAGTGGAATCACTTTTGCTATTTTCATATCCTCTGGAAGAGTACTCGTCAAGATATAGCTTCATCAAGTAACCTAAAGTCTCATGCGGTACTTCGCACGTGCCCCCCAAATTTCCAAGACTGGTTGAAATTTTTTAGACCCCTCCCCAGGACGTCCATCGATTACATGTATGTGCCCCCCCCAAAAAAAAAACACATAAAATTCTGGCGACGCGGCCCAGCCCCCTGGGACTACCCCCGTGGACAATTACCCCCGGAGGATGTTAACCACCTAAAAATTACCCACTACGACAATAATTTTCCGGGGGTATTTTTCCAGCGGGTACAAATAATTGTCCTGATACGTATTTAGAGGAATGAACGTCCACTTTTGGAGGAGTCATTGAGGATCACTTGGAGCGGAAATCCAAAAAAAGTGGAATCCATTATTATTTTTTAATTTGATATATTTACCAACTAGTTTAGAGTGTATTCCGATTTGTCACACGTAGCAGATAACTCTAACGTTAGTAATTCCTAATGTGACTCCTTAAAATTCATAGCTGCTATATAAGACTACGGTGCTATAAAAAAAAAGAAGCTCAGAACGGAGTCATGACTAGTTCAAATTTTCGACCATTCATTATCATCATGAACTAAAGTTAGATGTATATTATTTTTCAACTTCACACTCAAAATATTCACTGAAATGAAATGTTAATAAACCCGGCCCAATACGATTATGATAAAAACGAACACAGAAACGGACAAAAGGAAGCACAATGATATATAAAAAAAAAAGTATGTTTAGAAACCTGAACGAAACAAAGGCAAACGAATCAAAACATAAAGATGGCTCTAATAGAGAGAGAGAGAGAGAGAGAGAGAGAGAGAGAGAGAGAGAGAGAGGGGGGGGGGGGGGGGGGGGGGGGGGTGAACGTACGTGAAGTATTTAGTCAGGGCAGATATACTAAGTCAGGGCAGATATTCGTCCCTATTTTCACGAAGTGACGGTATAGTGAGGAAAATCGTAACGCAAAGTGAATGCAATTTTTTTTCACTATACCGTCACTTCGTGAAATAGCAAAACAAAACAACGAAAAAACAACACGAAAGTATAACAAAAGTCTATATCAAATAACATGATTCGATGAAAACGCAGGTTATTATGCTAAACTTTGGTTTGCCTTAAAAAAAAAATCTGTACAAAATGTTTTTCTAGTCCATGCAATTACCTTATTGACTTACATGTACATCTTTATCGCGATTCAAGATTGAAGAACATCGTTCCTATATATAAAATCTAGAGAATGCTTTATTAAAACGCATTGCTGTTTAATAAAGGCCTATAGATAGTTTGAACATAAAGTGAACTCATGATGAATATAGCTACTTCTACAAAAGAAGGTGATTGATAGACGGAAAGTATTGAGTGAAAAAGAACAAACATAGAGGCTATACAAAATCAAACCAAAATAAACCACACCACCACCACCCCCCCCCCCAAAAAAAATGGAGAAAAAAACAACAACAATAAAAAGGCAGAAAAAATCCTACCCCAAAATGTAATGGAAATGCCAGAGAAATATCGCACACAAAATGGTCCATTTAAATTTGATTTCGTGGTGGGTAATGTTTATCATACTTGACCTCGCAATAACCCACGTACTTTGGCCAGTCATATTTGACGCGTTGGCAATATCCGAGCAGAAGTAGTTGAAAGTAGGCAACAAGTACTTTTGACAATTTACGACTACAATATCATTGCTCATTGTAATATTTTTTTTGCAATGTAATTGTATAATAAATCTAATTTGATTTAATATTTATTGATAAATATCTCAATTTGTATTTTTATTGTTATGAATTTGTAAAAATTAATGAATTTAAACCTTTTTTCTTCCACATATACTACAAGGATTTTTTTTCATTTTACACATTCTAATTTTGCGTTTAAATTGGCAATGCTATTGTTGTACATTACAGAAGTTTTTGATCTATCTTCTTCATCCAAGAACTGGCTAATGTACGCTTCGCAATACGGACAGAATTATGGACTTAAAATGCGGATTTTCATTATTCCAATGAAATAATTTTTTACTGTGGCAATAGAAATGTTACACTTCGAAATTAAATAGAATTGTGTTAGAAATTTACGTTCTAAAGATGGCGTGGTTCGGTGGAAATCTGAAGAATTTGACTGAGAATCTGACCGGCCAGTTATCGAATGTAGCCACATCAGCAGCATCATTCACACGGGATGTTATCGCGGAGGGCACCGAAGAAGTGGCCGGTGAGTTTGTTCTCTCTTCTCAGTGACAGTGTAACTGCACTGCACTTCTGACTTCTGTCAGTTGTTCAGTGGTTTAGTTTGGATGCGTCCAATCTAGTCTTGGGATAACCATATATAAAAGCTAATTGGGTCTAATATTATTATTATTATTATCACCAAGCCTTGTTGGATAGTCCACATTTTCGTGGATGATTCTTAATCTTATTTCCGATCGTTGGCAATGCTAAAAACGGATTCCGCAATGATTTTCTTGATGCATTTCACATTGACTTTGTAGTTTTTGTACAGAGACTTTCACATTTAGAGTGATAAATCCTTGGGAAGACGGACAACATGTAAAAGTATACAGTCAATTGGGGGTATTTTGTTACGCTGAATACGTTTTTTCGCATTGCCAGCTCGCGGATATCGGATCGGGAAACCAAAACCTGCTGAGCAGCGAAGAAAAAAAAATGTCTGCGTCAATACACCAGTTTATGGTTATGGTCGCAATTTTAACTTACCTCTAGAGGTCAGTGGTTTACGCGTAAATTAAGATAGCACCCATGCATATCATGATATGATGTGAGCGCACAGCGCAAGCAGTAATGTCATTAATTTGTTTTCAGATGCGCATGTATTGTTGCGTCACTGCCTGAGCTGTGCACTCACACAATATATTTGCACGGGTGCCGGCTTAATTTAGAAACCACTAACCTCTAGAGGTCAGTGGTTTGTTTACTCATAAGTTAAAATGGCGCCCATGTCTGCTGTATTCGTAAACTGGTGTATTGACTGGCCAAAGTGTGTAGGTTATTAATGGAAGTAACCCTGTAAACGATCATCGGATCGGCCGCCGATACCGATCCGATCAGGGGTGATCGGATAATAATTTCCAATCGCCGATCAATTAAAATGATCAGAAAAAAATTGGCAGAATTTTTTTTTTTTTTTTTTTTTTTTTAATGCCGAAAATTTTCAAGTTTTTGGCTATCAAATGCTCAAAAAAAATTCATGGCTGGGATTATTTTGTCATTTGGAGTTGTTGTAGACCATGTTTGTTGATATTTAGGGCCTTTTCATGACTTTGAAATTAATAATATTGGTCTAAGACTAGAGCAGAGGCAAAACATGCGGGCTGCCATCTTGGATTATAATGCATACCTACATTATAATCCAAGATCCAATCTGAATTTTTTTAAAGCATTTGATAGCCAAAAACTTGAAAATTTTCGTCATTAAAAAAAAAAAAAAAAAAAAAAATCAGCCGATTTTTTTTGTCGATCTTCCGATCCGATACCGATCAAAGGTGCGAGGGTGTCGCTCGATCTTCCGATCCGATCAGAGCCCCAATTTACAGGGTTAAATGGAAGGTCAAGTAACTAAGATAACCCCTAAATAAAATCAAATGTACATGTAAATGACTCTCATAAATATTTTTACACTTCAGCAATATGCCAAGTTGAAAACGTAATAAAACCATTTAAGAATTGAATACCGGTATGTATAAGTATAAAAAGCTTTCAAGTGATTTTTATTGTAATTTTCCTTTTTTAAAATTATAGATCAGAGCACCGAGCTTCAGATCTCAGAAGACAAAGTGAGACGTTGTGAAACAGCCATCGTTGCACTGAGAGCTGAGGTAAATATCTAAGGGCAATGGCATAACTGGCATTGCAACCTTTGTAATTAATTCATTCAAATAAACTAATATAAATCAGAGAAACAGAATGGTGAAATGAAATAAAATGGACCAATTATAAGAGAGTTATGAATGTTTGAATTATGAGATCTCTAAAGCTATGTGAATCTCAAATTGGCAATTTTGTCAGTGGATTTTGACGTACATGTATTCATGGACAACTCTCCTGTTTGCTGTTGACAAAAAATAGGAATGATTTGTGTTACATACAGATACAGTTAAGAGAGACTTGTGTGCAAGCACCATTAATGAAGTGTCAATTTCACACATTTTTTATTATGACCGTTAATCTCATTTTCCCTATTTTAAAATGTAACCAACTTTACAGAATATGGCCCTTGTTTTCCCAAGTCCATGACTGCTGACTGTTTATGTTCTGATTTGTATTTCTTTATATATTTTACAAACACAGAATGAGAGACTTGGGACTATTAATGCAGAGCTGGAAGAGAAAGCTGAGGCCTCAGAGCTTCAGATCAACAGCATCTCATCACAGTATCGATCTGTCCTGATGGAAAAAGAGGTAGGGGATAACAACAATAGAAAAATGTCTTTATATTTGATTATGTTTACAAACATGCATACATGCTCTATTAAATGAGGTGTTATTGAGGGAGAGTACTGTGTTTTCTGTACTTTTTATAGAGAAGAGAATGTTTTGCATGTATAAAAAAAATTTCATTTGAAGATTTGTTAACGAAATGCAAATACTGAAGTGAGGAGAGTGGTATGTAGAGCGAAGAATAATTTGTCCTTTTCCCATGAGGAAATTTTCTGCACGATATTAGATGGCTTTCATCTTATCTGGTTTGTAACCTTAGACTGTCATACCGGTCTACAGTTTACGTGTTTCCAATGTTGATGCTTTCAGAAATAAGGAAACATGGAAGAGGTTGAAAGAAATAACATCCTACGCCTCTGTGGGAAAAATCAAGAAAATAAAAGGATCAGTAGGCTTAGGGTTTATGGGGTTTAGGTGTAGTCTTGGGTCCAGGGTTGAAGTTCAGAATTCTGTTAGTGTTGGCAATAAGCCAGTTCATAGTTGCAGTCTGAGCATGAGCAGATAAAGGTCATTGCAGACCAAATTGTGGAATACACAGAGATAAAATTCTGGATATGTGCTCATGAAATTTATGTAATCATTATTAATTTATGCAAAAGCAGTGCACTCCATGATACACATGACACAGGTGGAAGTATTCTTTGAAACAAAGGAAACAAAGACTATTTATGCAGCACCTCCATCGCTGTAGGAGTGATTATTTTAAAATGTACAAAGTGGGACCTCTTCATGTTTTGAAGATCTGTGGATATGCGGGGTCATTTGGGACATGTGCTAACTATGAACTGGTCTATTGGCATAGTTCTTATCCTAAAACATGATTTTCAGCCAATGACTTGGTCAAATGGCAGCTCTAGGCCATAGCTACTAAAGAGAGATAGTTGCTTCATCAGAAGTTGCTGTGTTCAAAGCAATTGTCGCAGGAGGAAGTGTCGTACCACCGTTATTCTTTTTTTTTTAAACAGGACCAGGTGAATTCTTTGATCCAGAAGCAGAATGATATGCAGACTCTTCACCACAGCATGTTATCCACAGCCGGGGACGGTGGGGGCATGACTGCGGCAACGTCCACATCGTCTCTGTCAGGTTCAGCCATCATGGCAGACAGTCATGACTTTGATGACGTGATCTGGTCCCAGCAAGAGATCAACCGTCTCTCCAATGAGGTGGGAAGGCTGAGGGCAGAGTGCAGTCATTGGAAAGAGATGGCTGCTGGCAAACAAAATGGAGAGAAGGTTTGATTTGATTTGATTTGTTTTGATTTGATTTATTGGTTTCTGCATCTTTTTTTCATCATACATTTTCATGAACATAATATTGTTTGATACAATATTTTAAGTGTATATAATGAGGTGGGAAGGTTGAGAGCAGAGTGCAGTCATTGGAAAGAGATGGCTGCTGGCAAACAGAATGGAGAGAAGGTATGGGCATAGTTGTTGACAAAACTGTCAAAAGTACAAGTTTGCCTACAGCCTATTGAAATAACGGGTTGTCGGCGAACTTGTACTTATGACAGTTTTGTGAAAGGCTGCTAGTCTTGATACCTTGTGCATTTAACTGCCTAAAAAGTATGGGAAATGCACTCTGGTTATTATGGAGCCCTGAGTTCGGCTTTAATGCTGTTCTTCCTGAGGGCCTTGCAATTAATATCACTCAAGCGATTGCTAGTTAACCATTTACACCTGGGTGGAGAGTGGCAAATGTGGATTAATGTCTTGCCAAAAGACGTAAGTGCCCCCCCCCCCACCCCCACCCCCACCCCCACCCCCAACTCTTGGATTGAGAGTCAAGTGAATGAACCACTATACCATGATACCTCCATGTGACATGAGCTTTACATTTTGTGACCAGTTTGTTGATTATGTAGATGAAGACAATAAACTTGTTGAACTTGTTTTCTTTCAACTTCAGCCTGTGTTCCAGATTGGTGATGACTCTTCACAAGTGGAGATGGCAGAACTGAAAGCTAGGATAAAGGTACATGTACATTTGATTTTGATTTTATTTTTTTCTGCATTCATGTAAGTACACAGATTTTCGATAACAGTAATAATATAAAGTACAATAGGTATTTTTTGACAATGATTCGTAATTAAGAAAATATATATATAAAACAATTGTTATTTAAAAAACGAAATATTAAACTGTCATAAATACTAAATTTCCTCAAATATTATACAATTATTTGTGGAAGAAGGACTGTCATTGTAAGCAGGTTGCTTGATAATACGACAGCCCCAGACAAAATTCATGAAATAGATTAACACATTTATCATACATTGTATGATAACACACTGTCATTTATTACATTGAATTACATTGAATTCCTCTCACTGTGAGAAGTTCTGTTGAAAAATGAGTTGTATTTCAGCTTGCACCTAGCGATCAAAGAATAATATTTCATATTGTATTTGTTGTCCTGCATTTAATTTAATGTTGATACTGTACATGGCTCATACTTGTCTGTCATAAAGATCTAACAGGTATAATTTGATGTTTTCAATACCATGATGTGAATTTTAGTGTAATGATTTGATTCTGTTCAAAAATCTAATACTTATTCAATTGTTATGAAAGAAAAAGTGCTCTGCAAACTTATTAATATTTTGTATATAATTTATACAATTTTATGTCATTTAATCATCCCCATTGTGCTAGCAATTAAAGTATTATTTTATCTAATATTTAGTAGTAAGTTTATTTAACAGAGTTATAATAAAGGTTGACATACATGTAGCTTTAATCAGCCCTTCAAAACTCACACTCTCATAAGCTACACAAGAATACTCTACTTATCGCTGTTATCATTTTATCATGATTAGAGCTTGGAAGAAAAGCTAAGACATAAAGAAGACGCGTCTCAGCATGAGTTATCGGCCATTCAAGACTCGCACTCTCACAAGCTCAAGACTTTGACCAAGAAACATAAGACTGATGTTGAGGATTATGAGAGGAAGATTGAGAGTCTGGAGAAGATGGTCGGGTATAGCTCTTCTGATGGTGGTATGGATGATGGCAATGATCTACAGAAGAGAGTCTTGGAACTGGAAGAGGTAAACAAAATGTGTTTTTTATGTATAATAATAATAATAATAAAAATAATAATAATAATAATAATAATAATAATAATAATAATAAAACATTTATAGAGCGCAGAAACTATCTAACTGCGCTACAAGAGCTCCTGATGTGCTTAGATTAACATTTAATTGAAAAGATGTGCTTTCAGTTTTGATTTAAAGATATTCACAGATGGTGATTTAATTCCTTCTGTTTTTGCATGGAATGATTTATATACATAGTTTAATACTAAAAAAAAAATTATCTAGCAAACCTTCCCAAATTTAGAGAATGTCCTAAAATAATGAAAGTGTCATACTGCAAAATGATTGCATTACCGGTACATACAACAATATTTTTGCTGCTTTAATTGCCCATGTTAACAATTTGTGAAATACTTGGTTTGAGAGTATATCGTCTAATTCTGTGTAAAAAAAATAAATGAGTTGATGGCCTTCTAGCTCCAAATTGACGATATGTTTTCTAGAGGTCATGATTGTTATAGATATACAAATATGTTGTGGTTAATATAATGGCTTTGCTTTCACAAGTGTTTACATCTTGTAAAATACATCAGTCGTGTTATATTAAGATATTTGGACAATGACTGTTGTATAATAATAATAATAATAATAATAGTGGCTACTTGTATTAGCGAAAAATACATGTAACAAACATAAGAAAGAAAAAAGAAAAAAGAAAATTCTTCTGGACATAGTAAATTACAATATTGCAATAATTACAACATTGATACAATATTGATCTGTGTTCAAAATATTTTGGCTATGACTGTTTTCTTGATTTACGCTAACAGCTTCTGCATGAGACCCGTCAGCAGGTCGGACAGCTGGAAGAGTCCAACTACCAGCTAGAGAAGGAGAATACCCGCTTGACCGAATCAGATCGGGATAACACCAGGCTTGTACAAACACTCAGACGTAAGGTGGACATCCTAGACAAAGACAGGTCAAGGCTTGAGAGAGAGGTCAAAGGGCACTCGGGGTCGGCCGCTGGTGATGGGGACGTTGTTGCCAATTTGAAGAAAGATAATGAAGAGCTGAAGCTTGAAGTGGAGCACCTCATGAAAGTTGTAAACAGTGAGTCACAAAGACGATTGAAACATTCTATGAATTGATATGGTTTAACTTCCATTTGTAAGACGATTGAAACTTTCTATGAATCAATATTGTTTAACTTCCATTTGTAAGACGATTGAAACTTCCTATGAATCGATATTGTTTAATTTCAATTTGCAATTACTTCAAGCAGTTATAACCTCATTTTGACCTCAGATTCATACATTTGAAGGCTTGATGTTGTGAATTATTAAAGCGAGATTGAAACCAACAGTGGTGATAATGGTGATAACGATAATACTTATATGATATTGGATGGCTTTGAGTGTGATACAAGAATATATTGCTCAAGCTATGACAATATTGGACGAGTCAACATTACATTCTTTCTCTCTGTTTACAGGGCAAGAGACGGAGCTGGAAGTCCTTCTAGGGTCGCACGAACAGGTCAGGGAAGATCTTTATGCCACTAAACAAAGACTGCTCACGGAACTGAATGCCTCTCATGTACATATCACCGTTCATTTATAATCCTAATCCTAATCCCTTATCCCTCCCCCTCTCAACTACTAATAGACGAACAAGCTTGCCTGCTCTCACCATCTATCACGTTTTATCTGTAAAGTTACATTCCAGTGAATTTTTGATAGGAAAGGAATTATGAAACATTAAACTGTACTGTACACGGTTGTTTTTCTGAAAATATTTTTTTTGAATTGATCTAAAAGGATAAGTAGAGATTAGTTTTGAAAAAACAAACTGACTGAAAAACAAAATAAATATAAAAATGAAAATAATGGAAAGAAAACAAAACTAACACAGAATCACAGTCTTTGCATTGATGAAAAAAACAAGTTGAATATTATAAAACTACATGCAATTTCTGCTATCCTTGAGCTTAACTGCAGTATAAAGCTAATTTATAACAATAAAAATGATAGCCTTGTGTTGTGGTTTCTTAAACACAGTGTAAAATAATATATCACATCCTGTGTTTGGTAGTTTATTTGTTTAATGGGCCTTGTAACTGCAGAATACATTTTTTAAAGAAATGCAGGCTGTAGATGCAGAAAATTAATTATATTTCATCAGTGTTTGTGCATTAGGTAGACAAACCAAAATTTGTCTTCCAGCCTTTAGTTTGTATCAATTTTACAAGCTGAATAAAGCTTCTAACACTAGAGGGCAGGCAGGCTTGAACATTTTTGTATTATTTCAAAAATTAAAAAATAAAGCTTAATGAATGCATGACCAAAGAGCTTCCTATGCATACTTATCAAAATGATTTAATAAATAATACTAAATACTGAAATAATGTGTCACTGCTATAAAACTGATTATTAATACAACCCCAACCCCGTAACGAAGCTCTAAGAGCCCTTTTATTCTTTCTCTTGCATGTTTATTCAAGCAATGGGCTATTATTGATATATTGTGATTTAACAGTGTTGAACTAATGTCTCCTTGAGATAGGGATCATATAAAAATGAACAAAAGGCTTTCATATCTGAATCTCAGAGTTAATTTGCTACAGGTTACAATGTGATGTCGGTGAACTTGTATGTATGACGATTTCGTGAGACAGGTCCCATGGTTTTAGATATCTCCACACGAATACTGACATGTTCCTCTCCACTGCATGTATCACATGGGACATGTCACTGAATAACTTGCATGTGTTCCTGTGTTTAAGGTATTCCAGATTGTTTTTCCAATATCCATGTACGTACCTGGTGTATGACTTTACTACAATCTATTTCTCCTTTTGTTATGGGTTTGTTTTGGTATGTATCTTTTTTTACACCAGACAACTTTATGTTGGTTCTTTTGTATCTATGTATACACTGCTTAACCCCCCCTTTACCTACATATATCTTCAAATATCGAACAATACTCCTTATACTGCTCCTGATATTGAAATCCCCCTTGAAAATGTATTCAATTGTTATTATTGGGCAGTAACTGTATATGATTCAATACAATCCATTAACACTTCTTTTACTGCTATGGTTCTTTTTATGGCTCCCCAGATTTTTCTGTCGCCAAATCCTGTAAATAATTTTCTCTATCCTTATCATCAATGAAGATACCTGTCTATATTATGTACATGTAACTAACACATTACCTTTTATTACTGCATACATACCAAGATACAATATCCTATGATTATTACACTCTAAACAAATATAATTATTATCATATTAATTCTTACATGTATATACCCCTATTTGCCCTAAGCTGTACAGGCATATACTTTTCTCCACCATATTTTCTGCCTATCTTTAATCTCTTTGCATAACAATTCTAAAAGAGCTACCGGTAATAGCTGACAGTTTTTTTCATTAAGCACTATATAAATCTAGATTCATTATTATTATTTTTGTCCTTTTTAATGTTATTTTCAAGATGAAGAATAAGTCTTATATTTCAGTCAAAATACAATTCTTTTTTACTCCACAAATAAAAGTAATTTCTATGCTTGGTAATCAATAATAATGATAGTGATAAGAACTGTTCCTACAGCTCATTTACATGGCTTAGTGTATTACTGTATTCTCTCTTTTCCCCTCTTTTCTGTCAAACTTAAAAAGACAAATATAGAATTAATAATGCAAGATCTATGAACCATTTGCATGACTAATACACTGTGTATTTTATTTGACCTTACTTTTTATATACAAAGTAGTACGATTTTATCGAATACTGCTTAAACTAATTCATCTTCTTTTCTTTCAAAGACTAGAATTAATTAGCACGATATTTAAACGATCAGTGCAACTCAAAATATAGAGTAGTACATCTCACTTTAAATTGCTTAATTTTATGCACATTTAAAAGTTACACCAGCATGCATACATCACTTGCATGAGCACTTGAGAAACGTTTGTTTTGCATGGTGCACTGTAAGAAATTATTTTGAAAACATTACCGGTACTGATATGTTTTCTAGCCTTAGTTTGAATTTGGAACAGACTTGGTATGATAACAAATTTATATCAGCCTCTTTCCTACAACAATCTTTGATAATTTTTCTGTACTGTCTTTTTGAAGTACCTTGTATGGTAATAATAATGATATACCATACTTATATAGCACTTATCATACATGTTCCAAAATTTATGTGTTGTAATGGAGAATAGGTAGTAAAGCAATAAGAATAGAGAAGAGGGGATATAATCAGCATACTTTCCTAAGTCATCAGGTAACATTGGAAATTGTTTCTAAATAGAAATGTTTTAAGACCTTTTTAAAAGTTGTCAACAGTATCACAATTTCGATATATTCTTGCAATTTATTCCAAATCTCTGTTGATGCAACCTGAAAAGAACATGACCCATAGAAGAATGCTGTATTTATTTGAGGAATAGTAAGGCAAGCCTTCAAGTAGCTTGTATGGTAGTTGTGTTTAGCTCTACCTGTCTGCTTTTTATTCAGTCAGATTTATGTATCAAAACTCCTTGCCTGACCTTAACCCTTACTGTACTGGGGGGGGGGGGGGGGGGGGCCTGGGAGGCCCCCCCCTCGACATTTTCGGAGATTGCGCCGCAACCGCTTGGAATTTTGAATTGTCGTTTCATGACTTTTTTCCCTCAAGTCTTACGCACATTTTGATACCATTTTCGTCAAAATCGGATATACCTGTAAGGCGTTACATAACAATTATGCTACAGTCACACGGCCATGTTACGGACCTGCGGATGCCTGCGTATATTTGGATAACGTATTTTACGTATGGATAACGTATATTCTGCGGATGCTTACGTATATTTCATCCGCAGCAAAATTTTGAGATTTTCAAAATTCCGCTGCGGATCTGCGTATGTCTGCGGATCCTGCGGATTGAATTACGGATGGATACGGATGCTTACGGATGATACGGATCCTTGCGGATGCTTACGGACTTTTATCCGTAAGCATCCGCAGCTACCGTAAGTGGCCGTGTGACTGTGCCATTAGTATGCGCATGTCATCAAAAAAAAAAAAAAAAATGAAAATCGCATCAAAATTTGCATAAATTATCATTATTAATTACATTAAAATAACTTTTTTGTGTTAGAAAAGAAGTTTCATATGAATAATGAGTTTCAACATTCAAAAAGTGGAGTTTGACACGTTTTCGGTAAAATGCATAAAATTAGCGCATTTTGCATAATTAATTAGGCTAACGACAAAAATTTGCATATTCGGAAAAAACTAATTATACCAACTTGTTCCTTACGTAAATATCTACAAACATGCAAATTTTCGTGTTCATCGGACGATCGATGGCCGAGATCATAGGGGGGGCCTCCCAGGCCCCCCCCCCCCCCCCCCCAGTCAGTGGGTGCTCAAAATAGCCCAGTACAGTAAGGGTTAATACCCATGTACCTGCATGAGAAATTGAAGAATGATAGAAAGCATTGTACCCTTTGATAATGACTTGACTTTTCATACTCTATCTATCTGTATCAAGTATATCTCAACAATCAATTGCCGCATCCAAATTGGCCTTAGCAACCCCCACTTAATCCCTAAACCCAAGATTAAAGACCACCCCCAACTGTACCTCCAGTATGAACTCACTTGTGGAGTTTGTAGGTGGACTACTATCCAAGAAAAAAGCTTCTGTTTATACTGTCCAATTTTGCAGTCTTATATTTGTTGGCGATTTACTTTGATGAGTGCAAGATGAACAGCTTCAGTATTTCTTCGTTGCTTGGAATTAGATTAAATCTGTATCTGAACACTCCTCAGTGCTCATAGTCTATACAATGAAGAAAAATCTGTGTAGATACTTGAAATCCTGCTTGAAATGAATATATTCAATGAAGAACTTTGATATGTATCTCACAGGCAAGCACCAGTGCGATGCTGGACGACATTCACAATGCTGGGAGGAAGTTCTCAACCGAGGAAGCTCTGAGAAGATCCAAGCTACTCAAAGAGAAACAAGAGATTGTTGATAAGATGATAACAGCTGGACAAAAGGTAAGATCAAAAAGGACGAGCTCAAAACCCCCCCAAAAGCTTTTTAATCGCACTGCCTTACTCAGTATAATCTTATTTTATGTTCTCTTATGTTAAAATATAATTATTTTGTTTGTATTTATATATTTATTTATGTACATGTATATGCACCTTTGAATTTCCGAATACAAATTTTATGTATTTTTTGAATCTCTAGTTTACAATCTTATCCTGGCTTTCGTTCAAGTTCAGACTGCACCATACATGTACACTATGTGCCCAGAACAATTCAGTTCAATTTAAATGAGGTTTTATTGAAGACTTGTCAAAAAGTCTACTACTACTACTACTACTAAAGTCCAAAGACTAAAAATACAAGGTCACATCAAACATACAATCATATAAAAAAGCTGGTGATAATGCTTTTCAGGCCTCTGCACCAAGGCTGTGGAATGACCTTCCATGATATGTCCACCTATCTCATTCATCAGATGTTTTTTTAAAATCTTTGAATGAAAGATAGGAGTTGTAGTTGTAATTTGTTATATTATTAATGTTAAAGATTCTTCCTTATATGTATCCTCCCTTTACACTGATGTTCTATCCTTTTCATCATTTTCAATGTGTAATACGAGAATATAAGAATATTTCTATTTTGTCTACGTTTTATTTTGATGGTGGTTCTATGATTTTAAACACAATAATATAGTTTCTCATATATATATTACATATTTTTACAATGTGTTTAAATACCAAAACAGATTTCCATGTATTCTTGTGAATTTGGATGGATAAAAAAGAATTTATTCTAATAATATTGAATTGAATTGTACATCTTTCTTCTTGTAGTTCTATGTTTTGTAATATATACTCTCATTCTTACCGATAGATGTCCGATATTAAGAATACAGTCACTACCTTAGAAGCAGCCACATTAGAGATCAGTGACCAGGCAGCTGAGATAGTGTCTGAGATCGGATGCAGCCAACATCAGGAGATCACAGCTGACTTTGTTAGTAGTTTGGAGAAGGAGAACGATCTTCTAAAACATCACGTCTCTAGACTACAGAATGAGGTGTGTTATATGATATTTTGATTTGATTTGATAAGGTTTTATTTGAATATTCAACAATACAGCTGGAAGCTGATGCAAGTGAATTTACAAGGTAAAAATAATTCCATAGACATATAAATATCATTAAATATCTGTGGTATTTTAGTTTGGAGATCACAGCAGACTTCGTTAGTAGTCTGGAGAAGGAGAACGATCTTCTAAAACATCATGTCTCTAGACTACAGGATGAGGTGTGTTTTATGATATCTGTGGTATTTTAGTTTGGAGATCACAGCAGACTTTGTTCGTAGTCTGGAAAAGGAGAATGATCTTCTAAAACATCATGTCTCTAGACTACAGAATGAGGTGTGTTTTATGATATCCGTGGCATTTTAGTTGAAGAGGAGAATTCAATTGTTGTAATAAGTTCATTGATTTAAAAGCAAAACAATTTAGAGAAATGTAATGGCAAGAGTTTGAAATAAATTGGACTAATAAAATGAAAGTTATGGATGTTTTTGGAATATGAATCACTACACCTGTGCAAATCTCAAATTGACAAATTGGTCAGTAGATTGTGATTAATATGTCACATTGTAGTTTGTTGGTTCATTGAGGTTGGGTCTCTTTGTCTCTTACGTACAGAATTAGATTCATGTGCACCAGTATGACACTTGTTCTAGTCTTGTAGCTGTGAAACACGCTTTGTTTTTTTCTCCCTAGATTGATGAATTGAACCAATCCTGTGAGACGCTAGCAGACGACAAACAGACATGTGAGGCTCTCATCACCAATCTCAATCAGAAGGTCAAAGAACTTTCAGGTCAGGACCCGCAGGGGTCGGAGCAACGACCTTCTGACCCCTCTCAGTCTGAATCTGAGCTGACCCTTGTGACTGGTGAGAGTGACCTTGACAGTCTGCCCCAAGGAGGTGTCGAGGATGGAGTTCAGGTCAGGAGACACATCTCATATCGCAGGCCACAGTCTCCCACAGACTCGAGCGTCGCATCGGACCTGAGTTCATCGGTCAGGGAAGGCTGGACGTCGGAGACGGAGCTGAGCAGCGATGGAGGGTTCTTGACCGAGGGCAAGCAGTCATTGCTGGAGAACTCCGATGCTGTGAGCTTTGATGGGGAATACGATGACTCTATCATGTTTGCTGGTATCAAGGAGAAGTAAGCCTGAAATTCATACCTTAAATTATTTGAAAATGCAATGGAGTAGTAGTCCAATATAAATTCTTCAGTACATATTTCACCCATTAAATGTCTCATTAAACACTTCTAATTTTTCCTAGTGCAAGTTCATTTGTAATATTTTCAAGTTGTTTGATAATTTGAGTTTGCTTAATTTGTTATAATGCAAGGTATTGATTATACAAGATAGTAGAGGTTAGAAAAGATTGTGACCATTTAATGAATATACTCTAATTATTTGCGGGGAAGTTCAACAATTCAATCAGTGGTGAAGAGTTCAGATTATAACTACACTCTATTCTCTTGTAATGGTATATTCCCTGAAGCAGTAGATGTTTTCATGACTTTCTATAAATAAATTCATACAAAAATGTGAAAAATATGTTGTTGCCAATTTGAGAGAGAGTAAAATATGAACATGTGGAGAGGAATTTTGGTTAGTGAACTCCGTCACATTTCTAATTGTTGATTCCCTGAAGCAGCAGATGCATTCATGACTTTAAATTAATAAATTCATACAAAAATGTGAAAAATATATTGCCAATTTGAGAGAGAGTACAGTTTCACATGTGGAGAGGATTTCTGGTTAATGAACTCCGTCACATTTCTACCTGTAGATCCCTGAAGCAGTGGATGCATTCATGTTGTATTAAAAAATACATACAAAAATGTGGAAAAATATATTGTTGCCAATTTGAGAGAGAGTACACTTTGTACATGCAGAGAGGATTTCTGGTTAATGAACTGTGTCACATTTCCACATGTAGATTCCCTGAAGCAGCAGATGCATTCAAGCAGCAGTTGAACCAGTTTGAGATGGTGAGGGCTGACTGGGAGATGGAGAAACAGGCTCTGGAGGAGGTAGTCATTAGGATGAGAGATCAACTCAAAGAGAAAGATCGCATCCTTCAGGACATGACGGCTGAAAAGGTACAGCGCGTCCCTTGACTGTTATAAAAGATTATAGGACAGGTTCTAGAATATAGGCAATCTAATTGGCCAAATGTCACCCTGTGACCATGATTCATTTCCTATGTCTATCATCTAACTATCCCAACTTGAATCTTCTTCTTCTTCCTCCTTCTCTTCTACTTTTTCTCCTCTTCTTCCTCTTCATCCTCTTCTTAATCTTACCTTTCTCCTTTCTTTTCTTTCTTTACTCTATACCATCATCATGTTCTTCTTCACTTTTCTTTATCTCCTTTTTTATATAAAATGAGTTAGGGAGATCAAATAATAAGAAATAAGAATTTTAAAGTTAAATATTATTTTTAACAATGTACTCATTCAAGTTCAGTTCATTAATTTTGATGTTATTTGATATGAATGTTTTTATATATTGTATTTCACGTTTGTAAAGCATTGCCCAATTCGGCCTTTTAGGCCTCAATGCATAGTTGTTCATTTATTCTCAATAAAACCATTATTCAATTCAATTCAATTCATTTTGTCCTTACATGCTTATCATGGAAATAAAGTTCCCATAAAAAAAGTAATAACCCATGGCTAAAAGTGATAATGCATGCCTGAGATGTGCATTTATAAGCGTATCTCTGGTGCTTACAAAATTGAAGGCGCAATGAAATGCACATGTTTAGTTTCCAATGGCAAGGACATTGATATTCGCACTGAGATGCGCACTGCACTATTTGGCTATGCGTATGTACTAAAAAATCACTTAAGGCTTTAATACATGATTTTGACATGAGACATTACTTGCTGGAAATATTTGAATGTGTTGTTAAATTTGTGATCAATGAGTGAAACTCCTGCGAAAATACCTAGGGGGTGTTTCACAAAGATCCTAAGTTGAACTTATCTCTAAATTGGACTTAAACATTATGGAAAGCTGTTAGCATCCTTTAAAATAGTTTGTAAAAAATATTTTTAAAGGTTTAAAATGTTGATTTAAATCATTCATATTTTGTATTATCATGGGAGATTTCATGTTCTTGATTTGGAATTTATGAAAAGTCTAAAATACTTCAATATTTGTTTTGAATATATTTTATTCTAAGGCAACAAATGGCTCTCCATAATTTGTAAGTCCAACTTAGAGTTAAGTTCGACTTAGAATCTTTGTGAAACACCCCTGATTGTACAGTAAGTGTTTATATCTGTATGCTTTGTTCACAGGGTCTAATGGCAGTTCATAAAGAACATAGTGAAGACCTGGAAGAGAAGGTAAAAACCTTGCAGGACAATAATGCTAGCTTGCTGAAAGAGAAGGAGACTGCCAAACGAGTTAATGTAAGCAAGACTATTTTTTTTTAACCCATGTAACCCAAGTTATTTTGACTTGCAGGCAATGTTCAATATAACCAAGAATTTTTGCTTCAATGAAACTTCCATGCTATAACAAATGTAATCACAACGTAGACTTTTTGTAGTCCAGAGAGTTTCTCAACAGAATCATGGCCTCTATCAACAATCCCCAAATCTTCTGGTTTTGTAGTGTTTGTTTTCTCATGGAGCTATCTGTTTGGAATGTTGAGCCTCGCTCTTGCTCTTAACTACGCATCCATAACGTGGTTCACCAGTCCTTTTCAGGCCTACACTCACAAAAGAATTTGCCTCCCTCTGAATTTTCTCCACTTCCCTCCTAATAATAGGGCGCTTTAGTAACGAGACGGTACGCACAGGAGACGGAGTGTTTAACCAACTGTGACGGGTCTCGCACTCTTGTTACCGTCGTGATGTTTAAGCGCTTTCGCTGTCTGCTAAAGGCGACGGGGACGCAAAGCCGCGCTGAACTGCACACCTGCTGAATTTTGGTGCTAGTGCTCTTGGGCCTCGAGGCTTGGCCGGAGCGCCGGGGCAATAGACCCGGCGGTGGGCTGTAGTGCGCAGCGTGCAGGCACGTCATGCATAACGATGAAAAAGGGCCCCCAAAGTAGGCCTAAACGGCCAAACCATCAATTTATTGTAGATTGAGGTATAGATACTGAACAGACATTGGAAACACTAGTAGATTCCCTGTTTTTATCTTCAGTAGGGCCCTGCATTGTTAGATCTAGATACAAATTATTTGTCAGCTCTCTCTCTTACGTCGTGTTTAGGGAACGAACGCTATGTTGGCCGAGTACCGTTCCGAAAATCGACGGGACGGAGAGAATTCAGAATCGCGCATGCGCAGTTTGTTTTTTTCGCTCGCATTACCGTCTCCTGTGCGTACCGTCTCGTTACTAAAGCGCCCTAGTATCAAGTAGTGAACTATAGGATGAAACTGAACGAGTTGTTTAAGTTTTCTTGGAGATATTTTAATCGATGTTAGGGTGCTTACTCTATGGTTCCCTTTGTAATATAGGTTTGAAGGTTGTGCTTTCTTTATTGCAGTCGAGGTTCGTTCTGATCGATTCCACACCATTTATTTCACAATACAATCGCATTACCAGAACTCACCTTTATCTTTGATATTTTATTTTTATTAATTTTTTTTGTTATTATTTGTTTATATACAGGAGGAGATGGTGGAGAAGCTCAAGAGGATAGAAGGAGAGAAGAGTGATCGTGATGCTTCAATATCACAGATAACCAAAGCTAAAGATGATCTTGAGAACAGACTTCATGAAGTAGAATCCAGATACAGTGCAATAGAAGAAGATGTGGAGACTAGCAGAGGGGACATGGAGCAGGAGCTGAACAGAACAAGAGATGAGAAAGAACAGTTAGAGACGGATTTAAATCAGCTAGATGCCCAACACCAAACGGCGCTGGAGCAGATTATCGCCTCCAGGGATAATCTAATCCAGGAGATTAAGGAGAAGGAATCGCAGATCATAGACGTGAATGATAAGCTTGCGAAGCAGAGTGCAGAGCTTGAGCAGTCAGCGGCAGATAAAGCAGCTCTGGAGGACGAGATGGAGGAGATGAGAGAGGACTTGAGTACAAGCAGAGCTGACCTACTGGACTCTGAGCAGATGAAACAAGAACAAGCCGTCGCCATGACAACTCTGCGGACGAAGCTGCAAGCCATGCAGGATGAGCACAATGAATCGTTGAAGGAGTTTGATGAGTTTAGGCGGGAATCTCAGCTAAACGGCGGTGGACTTGCGGCTTCAAAGCAAGAGGTAGAGAAGCAGAGGCAGGCAGATGAGACTGACCTTCCAAGCAGGGAGGCCCTCCAGTCACAGATCTTGGATCTGACGGAAAAACTACAAAGCTTGCAATCAAAGGAACAAAGTGGTGTCTCTCCGACTGAGAGTGTTGCCTACCTTGAGCATGAGCTGTCAAGGACACACCATGAGATCGAGGAGCTCAACAAGAGCATCGATGAGCGCGATGCTAAACTCCAGGAGATGAACTCGAACCACTCTGAGCACTCAAAGCGCCTAGAGCAGAAGGCTGCCGAGGTGACGGCGTTGGAGACGGAGAATGAAAGAATACAAGAGGAGGTCAAGTCACGGGACGAGGTGTTGACCAGGTCACACAGTGAGCTCATGAAGCTTCAGGCTGACCTTGCAGCCATCAAGTCTGGTGCCGAGAGACGCGAGAATGCGCAAGAACAGGAGAGGACACTGGCTGAACAGCTGCAGAAGACCTGCGATGGCTTGAGCGTTGAGTTAAACTCCAAGAAGGAACTTTTGGAATCTGTGATAGAGAGCAAGAAAGAGTTGGAAGATTTGATTGAACAGAAAGAAGAAGATGTTAGAGCACTTGCTGATGAGAATACTCATTATTTCAAGAATGTGGAGAAATCAAAAGATAAAATTGGTGAACTCACTGCTAAGGTCAAGGAAATGGAGAATGTAGAGAGACAGCTCCAAGAAACAAAGGAAAACTTTGAAATATTGACTGGAGAATTAGAGCGAACAAAATCAGAATTGAGCAAAATGTCTTCTTCTGGAGAAGAATATTTAGAAACCACACATACTTTGGAGGAAGAAGTGAATAATCTTAAGAAAAACCTTGCGCAACATCGTGAATCGACAGGAGTAGAGAAAGAAAGTCTTCAGACAAAGGAAGATGAACTCACAGAAGAACTAAAGGAAAGCACACAGAAAATAAGTGAATTGAATGAGGAATTACATGCTGCAGAACTAGAGTTGTCTGGTGTCCAAGCAGAAGTGGAATCTGTTAAAATGACACTGGCCGCTCAAGATACTCAATTGTCGGAATCTAATGAGAGAATAAATGTGAAAGAGGCAGAAATTAGTCATCTAAAAAGCCAGATTGAATCTTTGAGAGACCAGTCGAAGGTCAATGAAACCAGCGCTAATGCTGTAGACCAGCTTCAGACGGACCTAATTGAGAAGAGTGCAATAATTAATGAACTCCAGAAAGAGTTAGAAGTGAGTCGTGCTGGGTTGGAAAGTCAGCTTCAAACATTCCAGGAAAGCATTCAGAATAAGGACAATGAAATCAGTCGATTAGATTCGTCACTGACTCAGCTGAGAAATCAGAAAAAGTCACTTGATGAGTCTCTCGTTGAGTATGAGAGTCAGATCGAGGACTTACAAAGGACCAACCTACAGAAGGACGAAGATGTAAACAGACTGCGTGAGGAAGTCGGAAACATTACCACGCAGCTTCAACAACCGGCTAAACAACCCCTGCAGAATGGTGAAATGAATATCAGTGTGTCTGAAAGGATAGAAGATGCATTGCCACCTTCAAGCCCTTTCAGTAAATCCCCAACGGGTGTCTTCCAAGGTCAAGATGGCTCCATCAGTGACAACGAAAAGCACTACGAGAAAATCATCCAGGAGAGGGAGAAGGAGATCAGTATGCTACAACATGAACGGCAAAGTCTCCTGACTAGTCTGAATGAGAAGTCTACATCAACGATGGGTAACAGTGTCCTTGTGGACCTCCACAAGAACCAGATGAAAGTGAAGACCCTGGAGTCGGAACGACATCAGATGATGACTGTCTTGAACGAGAAGACCAGGGAGGCAAGTAACCTCAAGAATGAAGTCCACAAGCTTGTGAAGGTTATATCAGCTCAGAAGTCTGCCCTGGAGAAAGCACAAGAGGATGTCAAAGAGCTGCACAATGCCTCCAGAGGACCGAGGGACGACATGCAGAAGGAGGCCTTACATAACCTCTCACGCATCATCCAGGATAAGGATCTTGAGATTGAGGCTTTGAAGCAGAAGAACACGTCTTTGCTGGAGGTTCTGCAGTCAGAGGCTCCCAGCAACAGTTCTCAGATCTCAGGTGTGCTCTCTGAGAGTGAAAAACTGCAGAAGGAAAATACCGTCCTCAAGGAGGAGAGAGATCAACTGGTGGTGAGTATTCATCAAAAACACCAAGAAAGCCTGGCTTATTATGAAGAGGTGCAGAGACTTGTGGGTATCGTCAACGGAGAGGTACAAAAACACAGCGACTTAGAGAAACACCATGGTGCCCTCCAAAGTAAAATGGATGAATTGACCGAATCTATGAATCAATCAAAACTGGAATTAAATGAGTCTTTCAGGGTGACGGGATCACTGGAGGAAGAACTAGAGACTCAGAAGCAATTAGTTGGAGAGTTGGAGAATCAGGTTCAGTTGCTGGATGACTCAGGAACAGAAATGACTAAGAGGATGGAGGAGTTGGAGAAACTGGAAGCAAGAAAAGCCAATGAACTTGGTGAGAAAGAAAATGAATTAGCACATCTGCAGCATACGCTTGATGAATTGAAGACAAGACAAGAACCTATTATAGAGGAGACTGTTGTGAAGGCGGAGATGGCTCCTGTACAGCTAAGTGCTCCACCAGTGCAATATGAACAGAAGATGCTGGAGAAGGATGCAGAGATTGCTGACCTCCGATCACGTCTGCAATCACAACAGGTCACTCCTCAGGTTTCTGAAGATATGGTGAGCGTAACAGAACATGACGGAGAGCTTGCCAGTGTCAAGGAACAACTTGAATCTCAGGGTCATGCGTTATTGGAAATGGATGGACTTGTCAAAGACAGAAGCATGGAGCTGGAGCAGAAGAAACTGGAGATTGCCACACTGAGGCAACAGATTGACCAGCAAGATCAGGCCATCCTAGATCAGAATACAACCCTTCAGAAGCACACCAACGATCTGCAGCAATTGCACGTAGACCTGAAGGCGAAGACAGAAGAGGCGAACACGTTGCGCCATCACACCCAGCAGATCTCCATGCGTTTACAGGCCGTGGAGCAGGAACTGGCACGGGCACATCAGGAGATTACCAACCAACAGCACATGGTGCTCAACAAGGACGGTGAGCTTCGACAACTCCAGGACCTCATGAGCAGGATGAGTGCCGAGGTGAGGGAGAAAGACTTTGAATTGACAGCATTGCGGGATAAATGTAAGACTCTTGCTAAGCTGGTGGATGATAAGGACACAGATGTTCAAGGAGAAGTCCGCAGGTTGCTGGGTGAGGCTGAAGCGATGCAGACACAAGCGCAACGTTTCCAGCAGGAGAGGGATCAGGCAATGATGGCTTTAGAGAAATGTCAGAGAGACCTTCTACTACTGCAGGAAGAGGTAAGCTGTGTTGATTCAAGTAAATCGGACACTAAATATAAGGCATCTTGTCATGGTCTTTCAAAGTATTAGAGAACTCTTCCCGATTGATACTTGGCAGGAATTGATTCCTTGAAATGCTAGAGCGCTGTAATGGCAGCTAGGCTAAAGCCAGGGTAATAATTAATGCGCCCTTAAATAGAATTTCTAGATAGATAGTGCTATAGAAATGCCTATAATTATTAATTATTAATGTATTTTGAGTGCTGCCTGAAGGGCAAAGGCGTCTAAGTTAGAGTTGTTCATAAATGTGTTATAATTGACTGACCAGATTGCCAAGTTGATATTTACATGGACTTCGTAATCACCATCCTGTTTTTTCTTATTATACTTTCACACAAATCCACCTATTGTAAAGTTGACTGCACAGTTGCATCCACCACCAAAATCCTGATGGTTCATTTTTGACATTATTTTCTAAACTTTCACATTTCTTCCTCTCCACCAATCAGTAATGTTGATTGTCATAATATTCCATTTATAAGTTCATCACTGTTTATAATCCTCTACATTGGCATTAATTTTTTTTATCAATAAACCATATCAAATCAAATATTTCTAGGAGAAGCATATCATCGGAATCAATGTTTTTCATTTTCTTGCCCAATGTAGGCTGCGATGCGAGGAGGCAACGAACAGAAGTTAATGCGTGAGCTGGAGAGATTAAGAAATCACTTGATTCAGATGGAAGATACATACACACAGGAGGCACTCCAAGCAGAAGAGAGAGAGAAAGAGTTGAGAAATAGACTCAGTATGGCAGAAGAACATGCCCATAGCAGCTCCTCAGCTGTGCAGAGTGTTAGGTAAGCTTCCGTCAGTTGTGAAGAGAGTGAAGCTTGGTTATAACAAACTCAGGATTGAGCCCTAGGAAATTAAATCAATGAAATATGTATCTATTATTGTTTTTCAAACTTTTTCTTAAAGTCATGGCACCTTTTAAAGGCCGGCTGTACTAGATCAGCAAGAAGGGATTAGACCACACAGCAAGGTCACTGACAGGTGGCTATCTTATTATCTCAGCTCTCAATTAACATTAAAAAAAAGAGGATCATGGGGTACCAACAGGCACCGATTGGGGAAGTTTTCTATATAGAGGGAGCAAGTAGCTACAAGTAGTACAGTGTGGCTTTAAAGAATTATACAGTTTTGCCTCATCCCAACTTTGAGGAACTTCCCTTCTAAAGGGTTTTAATCAGGGAGTGTTGGGGGCAACATTACATGCTGCTACAATATAACTTATTGCAAAAGTTCATGACATGAAAGTTCCTCAGGCCTATGTTTGGGGGTCTTTCTCCTTTTTACTGAGCCAGTTTGAACATTCATGCTGACAATCTATGTTAACATGAAGCACATCTATATATTATGATATGACAGTAAGGAGGCAAGTGCACAGATAGACAGTCTTCAGGACCAGCTCGGTGCCATGAATGAACAGAAAGACCACGCCTTGATGCAGCTCTCTATGGTCCAGTCGGAATCAGAAGAATACATCCTGTCTCTTGGCAACCTCCAAATGGTCTTGGAACAGTTCCAACAAGGTACACTGACATGATGATGATATTGTAGAAGTGTCGTAGTCGAGTGGTTTAAGCACTTGACTTGAAAATTGAAATTCAAAGGTCGTGATTTGATCCTCGATACGGCATTAATGTCCTTTGGCAAGGCATTAATCTTCATTTGCCACACTCGACCCAGGCGAGGTAAATGGGTACCTGGCAGGAATTATTTCCTTGAAATGCTAGAGCACCGTAATGGCAGCTAGGTAAAGCCGGGGTAATAATTAATGTGCCTCAGAAAAGAATTTCTAGAAATTCCTATAATTATTATTATTATTGGTAGCCAGTTACAAGTATCTTGATAATAGTGATGATGGTGATGATGATGATGATGGCGGTGGTGGTAATGATGACGATGTTGAAGATGGTGACGATGCACGATGATCAAAAGTCGAAACTCTTGAAAAATATTCTGTATTTATGTGGGCCTATGTCACATTATATTTGCACACTGTAAATTACCGTAAAACCTTCTCTTTTTGATCATTTGAATCATATCTAAATTTCCTCCTCGTAGAAAAAGAAGCCTCCATAGCAGCTGAAGTAGAGGTGTATGAACTCAAGGCCCGAGAGAAGCAACGTATTGCTGCAGATCTACTCAAACAGAATGTTGATCTACAGGTTGGTCATTTCATTTGATATCAAATAATCAGTTTTAAGCCAGAAGGATGTTAACTCATCAAGTCTTACCCATATTTAGCACCGTTTGGACCAGCAATAGAGGAGATGACTTGTTTTATTTTGTATAATTAACTGCAGCCATTGGAGCCCAGCCTTTGAAAGGCCAATGGCCTCTGCTGGCTCCTCCATATTCATTGTATTTTGTTATATATTTGCTTATATGTATTATGTATTGTTAAATGTATTTTTTACGAGAATTGGGAATAAATGAAGGAGTGAATGCCTATTGTACCTGCCATAGTCACTAGCAAATACATGCTCATATATGTTAATGAACAGGTATGGTTGACACTTTCAGTGCTGTTTGCAGATTGAAATGTTCAAAAGAATTTATACTTAACTTTCTGATGGTAATCTCAAAACGGTGTCAGGAATTGAGAAGTTACTTATATAAAGCAATGTTAATGTCGAGATGATTACCGGTAAGTAAAAAATGTATTAAGATTGGAAGCTTGTCTTGTATTATTTAGGTGATACTCAGTGTGTTTTAAATGAAGATCATTAATATTTTGTAATCATTTATGGAGGTACAGTTGCACCTCATTATAAAGAGCTATGATATAACAAGGTATCTAATATTATAGTATTAATGACTGCTTTGAGAGAAATAGTTGTTTTTATACGCTCAAGGGAAGGTTAGAATTGTGCTATTTCTCGAATATTAAAGCAGTCATTAATACTTTTATATGCCGAAAACAAAAGAGGCAACTAATGACACCACCTTGGCCTTTCTCTAGTTTATCTGCACGGCTGTTTTTTATGAGTGTATCTTTGAGAGTAGACTAGATCTAGATTCTTCTAGTCTAAGCAAGATATTTTTACAATTTTGGGGGTGGACCGGCCCTGTGGGGAATAGAGAGAAGAACCTGCGCTTTCATATGACACCTCACTTATTGAGTATCACCTTCAGGATCACAACAGATAAAAGTTTGAATCTCGAATTGAAAAAAAAAACTTTACTTTTTTTGCATGGTCGCGCAATGCACGTAGACTGCATAGAGACTGCATTGCGTGTAATCTCTATGGGAAGAATATAGCACACAACATCGGGTGCGTGTTCAGACACCCTGACAACTAGATCTATTTTCGTCTACGTCTATGCTGGTACTCCATTTTCAGCAACTAAACTAACATGTTTATGGATAATTTCACGTACCCTTTTTGTTGTTCTTGCTGTCAGCGTGTCTTGTATTTGATAAGTTGAAATCTTGGGACAGTTTCTATAGCCATTTTTGTCTTGTTTGGAATTGTCTTGTCTTGTATGAAATACCGACCAATTCTCCGCACACGTACGGTATCCTCGATCGCTCAACCCATTTTTTAACATGTAAACCTATGGGGTAACCATGTAGACTGAACTATTTTCCCGGTAACCATGGTTACTGGGATTTTAGAACTGTTTTAACCATGGTTACTGGGAATTTTACAGAAATAGTTAAAGTTTATGAATGCGATTTCGACCAATCAGATGGCTGGATTTCTTAAGTGAGGTATATAAAACATGATAATTTTGCTGGTCCCAGCTCTTTATATTCTTTTGTTTTTTTTACCCTGATATAACAAGATTCCTAATACTTGTATTTAGCAAAGTAATTTCCATGGTACCAAGGACCTTGTTAAAATGAGTTTCCACTGTAATTGATTACAAAAGAAGATACTTTCGAAAAAAATTGTGCTGACCAGTTATCTAATGAATAGAATTAGGAAAAACAATTTTCATTTGATGTTTTGAATACTTTTTGTTGTTCTTTTTTTCAGGAGAGATTGTCATCTGCCCAGGAATCATTAGACATAGCATCACGTCTGAGTGAACAACTAGACAAGAAGGAAGAAGCAATGGAAAGACTTAGAGCTGAAAGTAAGTTCACAAACCAAAAGGCTATGTGTGCATTGTGCATCCACGGAGTTATGAAAACCGTTTATTTAGGAAAACAAATTTTGAAATTTTGATTTCTAATCAGAAATATATCTTGATAATCAGACAGGCGATCGGCTTGTAAAAGTCATGGGGTTCCTGACTGACCTTGAAGGTTCATAATTATCATTGAGCATGAGCTTAAATCCAGAATTTTGTTTCAGAATCTAAGACAAAGTTACCCAATCCCTTTAAATGCAGGTTTTACTTGTATACTTATCTGCACTGTAAATTCTATTTGAAAATAGTATATAGAACACCCCCCCCCCACCCATTAAAAAATAAATAAAATAAAAATAAATTCCCAAAGAAAAGAAACCAACCCACAATGTATATAGATTGTGGCACAAATTCACAAAGGAGGTTTGTCGACAAACCTAGGTTTATGTGCGTCATATGACGCGTTTTGATGTGTTTTGACGCGTTTTGACAGACCAAGGTTTGTAAAAATGTGTCGAAACGCGTCATAATATGATGCACATAAACCTAGTTTTGTTGACAAACCTCCTTTGTGGATTCAGGCCTGTATGTCTGGTAATCTCTTGAAGGTAATAGCCGGTTAATCATTGACTGTGTGTACCCATTGAGGGATATAACAAAATGTAGCCACTTTGAAAAGGAGGTCTTTTCAATTAACCACAGGAGAAATCCTTTGTTGTGTAGGAAATGAGCTTGTAATGAACTCTATTACAATAGGGATTAGGTGCATATTGATCTCCTTATTTAACCAAAGCTTACTCATTGAATTAAGTGATCTTCTTTGTTCCATACCATGGGCACTGTGTAGACTACTGTTGCAAGTCTATGTAGATGTACAAGTAGATATGAAAGCTGGGTTCTGCAGGCTATTTTCTGTGGTGATTTATGGTATCCAAACATTTAGATCTGTCGTGGGTGGGGGTTGGACCTTGCTAGGGACCGGTAGTATCAATGATGAGACAGGACAGCAGATTAAGGTCTATGAGGTTTATTCTGTGTCGTAACAAAAAAACCCTGTAAAGATACAGATAAAATCGGTGATAAATCACTTGTATCACATTACAGATTCAAATAATTCAATATCATCGTTGACATACATATTCAATATGCATGTATTGTATAAAAACCAAACAAACTTCTATAGTCATCGAATAATCATATATTGTTACAAACAATATATGTGTGTCTCGTACTTTAGTTAGAGATTCCTCATAATCAAATAATATTTATCTAAATATTCAAAGCATCTTAATCATCAAAGCATCTTAGTCATCAACCAGATATAAGACATGAATAAAATTACACCTAACTCCATAAAGTGCAGTATCTTATCAAACCCTCTGATAAAGAATAAATTCATTTCCTCGATAAATCATCCTTTATAATATTATTTGAAAGCATTTACAAAACATGGTAAAACATTGATCAAATAGCTCACTGATTAAACATTGCATGATAAACATCAAAAGTTGCCTACCCAAGGTCAAACAAATGTCAAGCAACAAGCTGCAACAACCAGACTGCAAACTCCACAGTCACTCACTACCCGTCATATCACTGCTACGAGCAGAAATGCAGTCATCACCTACATGTAGGCCTGGACCAGCTGTAGTCCCATATCTCCCAGCTGTAAATGAAAAGTCAATACACCCGTAACCATAGAAACCTACATTGAAAATACACTAAGTATTACATGTATACAATGTAACATGTTATCTACGGAAAAACTCTATCAAGATTCAATATCTATGATTATATTACAAAAACACACTCTCATACCATAAGTCGGTATCTACGATTCATGGGCGCCGCCATCTTGGTATACAAAGTGCTGCCCTCTACGTTCATAACTACAAAAACTAACTGAGTTGATAATTCTCTTCAACTACTAAAAACAAGCAAGTTTCTGCACTTGTTATTATTAAACATGAAATAATTAACAAAGCAAATACAACAGTGATTTCACTGTCTATTCTCAATCTCAACAAATATCATTTGCAATTTCACTGATAGCTATGAACTCGTTACAACGAAAGACGTTTCATAAACGTTTACACATGACATAGAAATTGTGGCAAAAAGTCATCCATGCACTCCAATTAACCAAATGCAAAATACTATACAAACTCTATTCCGAATCCTAAGTAACTTCTTAATGTCTCAATTAAGATTAAAATACATTTACAAGTATAAATTCACATACCCGAAGAATCTCCAAAACCAGAGCTTGCCCGACCTAGAACACGTCCGTGCATGTGGATGCTCAATTGGTGTCTGAGCTAACCACACCCAAGATAGAACTACTCGCCCATGCCGCGTACGTACGTACGTACGTTAACATACGGACTAATTCATGCATACAATAAAAAAAGGAATGTCACTGCCACTTGGCCTAATGTCATTACGCAATCTAGCGTATAACGGAACTAAACACCTGACTCAGCTATGCAGGTCACATCATACTATGGAAAAGGAATTTTCCAAGTGAAAAAACATCCGATCTAACCTCGATCCGTAACACTTAATTGAAAGCAGAATATAAATTTGCTTTAAACTTAAACATCATAAAATAAAGACTTTCACAAATTTCCAACTTCCGACATCTTCCCCGCTTGCAACATTGTCGTCCTCGACAATAGATCATGTATGTACAAAAAAAACATTCACAAATATCCAACTTCCGACATCTTCCCTGCTTGCCACATTGTCGTCCTCGACAATAGATCCTGTACTTACACAAACAAAAAAATATCAAATGCATCGACTATTGTAGATGTATACATATTTTAAACCAATCAACAAACCGTACAGTGTATAAAATCTTTGTGTTTGCTATTACACTCACTAAATATCAAAGAAACTGAAAATCTTGTTTCTCCATTACAACTGCACATATCAAAGAAACTGAAAATCTTGTTTCTCCATTACAACTTCACATATCAATATTTCCTGAACACGAATTCAATTCAGAATTCTAATATACCAAATGTACGCTACAATGGATAAAGAAACATTAGCAAAGTTGTATCTGCAACTTCAATATGCACCACAGCTATTTTCTCAGAAAAAATATATAATCAAAAAGAGATTCCTGACTGCTATTGCTATCATTCAGCCTCACTTGTTTCAATACTCCTTTCAAACTGGGCTGAAAAATATTATTTACAAACATGATTATATATATCATCCCCTTCCCCGCTTGTGTTGTAGCTTTATCCCTACAATATCAAGTGGAAAGTCCATCCCTTCCCCGCTTGTGTTGTAGCTTTATCCCTACAATATCAAGTGGGAAGTCCAGTAATCCCTGAAGTTGGCAATCGAAAAGGGTTTCGATTCACACCTTTATTAGCTCTCGCTGAGCGTCGGACAGGTGTTCCTACTTCTAGACCAGAAGTCGTGTCATCCTGTCTTGGAAGATACAGCCAACGAGGGAGGATGTCATCTTCATCGTTGCTATCATCGTCATCGTTGCTATCATCATCGACGTCGTCATCGGCATCGTCATCCTTACTGTCAGCAACATGATCATCGACTCTTCTCTCTACGTTAGAGTCATCCTCGGGATAAGGAAAAATTTCATCTATCCCTCTGTCCTCCTGACGAGGATCTTTAACTAGTCGACGTCGATTGACCCACTTGGCTTTGCCTCCAGTTATCGAGCGTATCTGATAGACATCCTTTTCTTTATTCCTAGCAACAATGACATAGGGCCTCTCATAGTACTTGTCTACGAGCTTATGTCTTCCTGTGAAGGCGTCACGATGAAGCAAAACTCTGTCTCCTACTTCTAAGACAGTAATAGACCCTCTCTCTTTTCTCTGTTGTCTCTGTTCTTCCTTCATTGCTTCCACTTTCTGTCTCTCAGATACTATCTGACGGGCTTTCTCTACCAATCTCTGTTGCTCTTGACTGTAGTCATTCAAGTCTATGGGTGACTTATTCAGCAAGTGGTCGATGGGAAGTATGGGTGCTCTCCCGAACATCAAGAAATAGGGAGTCACTCGTGTTGTCCTGTGGGGGGTTGTGTTATACATGTGAACAACATGTTTGATCAATTCCGGCCAACGTCTTCTTTCCTTAGGGTCTAAGGATCGCAACAAACAACACAAAGTCTTGTTGAAACGTTCGCATTGCCCGTTTCCAGATGGATGATAAGCTGTGGTACGAGACTTCTTGATGCCATACAACTTACACAGGTCTAATACCAAGACACTTTCAAAGCACCGGCCCTGATCCGAATGGATCCTCATGGGTATCCCATAATGCGAAATCCAGTAGTCACGCACTACCTTGGCCACCGTCTCTGAAGATTGGTTCAGACATGGAATAGCTTGCGAGTACTTGCTAAACACATCCGTCAGCACCAAAACATCTTCGTACCCTCGGTGTCCTCGGTCTAACTTCAAAAAATCCACAGCTAATACTTCTTGAGGCTGAAAAGCCATCAAATGCCTCTGGGGTGGGCGTACTGTTGGAGTAGGCGGCTTCGAAGTGACGCATCGAAAGCACTTCTTCACATAGTCCTTTACATGTTGAGTCATGCCTGGCCAATAACACCTTTCTTTCAGCAGATTGAGTGTCCTCTCAACCCCCTGATGGCCCCACTGGTCATGAGTTAGGCTCAACACTGTCTCCTTCAATATCCGTGGTAGAAGCAACTGTCGAATTCTCCCATAAATGGGATCATCAATCTCACGATATAGCACACCTGAATATTCAGTGTAATTCTTCCAGTCCTTCAACCAACTCCGCAAACTGACACTGTCGATTTCTAGCTCTTGACCACGTTTCCAATTCTTCCTCCAAAGACGCCTCACCTCTCCCAGTACATCATCATCCTCTTGTATCTTTGCCAACTCCTCGTGGCTGTAAGATGGGAGTATATTGGAAACGGGTCCTTCACCATCGTCCTGCTTAGATATTGGGTCTTGATCACATGGTAACAAACTAGTAGAACCAGTCAC